TGTAATAGGCAATATTGGATCTAGTGGTGAGTAAAATTATGTTTTGTTTGCGCTTCCAAAGTTAACTATTTTCAAGATTTTTTTTTGCTGGAAATAGTTATATCTAAAATTAGGTATTGTAGAAAAAAATATAGTTAGTACAGATATATAAATAAATATACCTCAAGACTCAGTCTTGATCATCTGCTGATGATGTTAACATAGTTGTAGAGAACATGCGCCCAGTGTAAAAGTAAAAGTGTTTTTGGTGTATTGTGCTGATTTATGTTTTATTTTTGCTGTGTAACACCAAAGGTTCCCAGCTGTAATTATTTCTTCTATTATATTAACAACACATAATAATAAAATTATTCAAAATATTTAAGGGAGCTTTAATAAAAGCTTTTAGTGTGTTTGTCTGCTAACTCAACAGTAACGATTCAAACAGGATAAAGTTTTTTGAAAAAAAAATTATTAATCAGAATTTATATTTATGATACACATTATTTTCATAAAACACCGTACGCCCATGCCTATTTTATGAATGAAATTGGGCGTGTTTTGTTTACAACTGCGTTCCCCTGCCGATACCCCGTAGCTACAGATCCGTTGGTCACACTATACAGTGTCCACCATAAAGTTGAATCCATATGGACGTTTTTTTTTTATATTAGAGTTTTAAAAAATCTTTTTGTGGCAATCGCTTCTGCTTTGAAAATAACTTAAAATGCACAAAGTCAAAGTTGACAGCTAACATCTGGGAGCTGTCAAATACAAAATATTTAAAAGAAATTTTTAAAAATTGGTTAAATTATTATTATTTTAAAAAAAGCGACTAACAAAATTATGTTTATTTTATATTTTTATTTTTTAATCGATTTAAGACCGTCCGAGGGGTAATACGTACCCTGCTGGCAGCCAAAAGGTCCTGGCTGAGCAACGTGTAGTTTCTTGCAGGATCCATCCTAACTCCTCTCATTAAGCTTCGGTCTTCCCTAGCATTTGTGGACCTTGGTCTACCTTCCCTACGCATCTCCATGACAGATCCAGTCTCTTTAAATCGGTTTTTAAGTCTAGAAATTAGACTTTAGGTGACTTTAAATCGATCAGGCACATCGATCTGTCGCGCACCGCCAAGAAGCAACAAGGGTGTTTTTCAAAAATGTGCATTTTTAACAAATCGCTGTAACTTTTTAGCTATGGAAAATTTTCTATTTCTATGAACACATTTCCAAAGCACCTTTTTACGTAGAATTTAATGGTTTAAGTATAATTTTTTTAAAATTAATAATTTAAGAGTTCAATCAACAGAAAAATTGATTTTTTATTTGGGACACCCCCTATATTTTTAATTAATTCAAAAGAATTTAACATTACCTTTCCAAAATATAGCACTTGATATTTTTGTTATAATCCCTTCAAATACAGAATTTTAAAAGTTCGCCACTTTTATAACTAGTAGGCGTTGGACCCCTTATCGATGATATGCCCTTAATGGAACTTGAAAACATATTTTTCCAGCAAGACGACGGACGCACCGCCTCTGAACGCTGAAGTTATCAGCAAATTTTTGCAGCCAATTTCAAGAATAATTGAATAGCTAACCAAGATCCCAGCCGTTGGCCGTCGAGAGGCCGCTTGACTTAGTGCCCATAGATCTAATCCTATGGATATATTTGCGGAAAAATAAAGGTTCCTTATTCTTCCGTTTAATCTAGACAAGAATAATTAGAAATACTTAGCAGTTATAAGAGGGTATCTTTCACCCCTACTGAGTAAATGAATTCCGCGAGAAATGTTCAAAAACTGCCCCGTCTGTCCATAACAGAAGACGGTCGATATGTCGAACACCTGTAGCAAAATCTCATGTCTTGGTTTGCTATTTATTTTTATTGTTATTAGATATAGTTTAAATGTGTTGATGTTGGTTAAATATATTTTAAATTGTCATAAAATTCTGCATCTCTCATAGCAAATATTATTTTCGTTTTAATTGATGCTCACAGCTAGAATTTTTTTGCCTTACAGCCGGTGCCGTTCAAAGTAGCGATGGGAACTATCGAATGAATTAGACTATCGAATGGTTAATGAATGAATGATTTCAACTATCGAATGGTTTTATTCGAATAAAATCATTCATTCATTTGTATACTAAAGCATATGTGATAACCTCGCCGTGCGACTAAATGGTTATCGTTGAGCCACGACTATCGAATGCTTTTGATAAATGAAATTTAGTATTCGTTTGATTTTTGTATGCGTCAGTGCATTATTAGTTCTTCCAAATTTTTATAACTTCACCGTATAAATACTGTGCTATTTTTGCGTTTACTAAAATAGTTAAAATACTAAAATAGTAGTTATTTTTTAATTTTATTTATTGACGATTGTGTGCATGTGCAGGTGGTCAAAATTTTTCCGAAAAGTTGTGTGGTTTTCCGTAGTCCGATCTTTCAATTATTTAATTTTATATGGTATATGGTCTATTTTTTAATGGGAAATTTTGAGAAGTAGCAATTTTTAAGAGAGATGAGATGAACTTAAATTAATTTTAAAAGTACATATTTGTATTTTAGATGTTTTAATAATATGAATTAGTTGAACTTAATAATCATATTAAAGTAATGTGGTTAAGTAAATGGTTATCGAACTCAAACTATGGGGTGAGAAAATTAAAATGAAAGTTTTACACGTGCCAATTTAAAAAAAAAGTTAACGATGTTTGTATTTTGTTTATGCTAATTCTCTTACATGTAGTTTTTGCGAAGAAATATTTCATTTATTTTTTAAAGTAAATGCCAGTAAAAGTAAATATAATTTTTAAATAGTAATATAAAGCACCTAATATAAATAATTTTGATTTCTAATTTTTATTTATATTTCGATACACTGCATGCTTAGAAAATTAATAAATGTTTATATTTCATGATTTTTAAAATTTGTTGTTAATATAACAAATTAGTTCTGTAATTATTATTATTTAATAAACCAACGTTGCCAAAAAATTTAGAAACTATATTATTTTTTAAATAGGATCTAATATAAATAATTTTGACATCTAATTTGTTGTTTATGATTTTGCTACTACTTAAAAGAAAATATTTATATTAACATGATTTAAATTTTGTTGTTAATAGGTATAACAAATTATTACTGTTATTATTATTTATTAAACCAGTCTTTGCTAAAAACATTAAAAAATAATTTTCCTACATCCAAAATAACAAGTATTATTGCAGTGTAACAACAGAATATTAATAAAAAAATGCAGAAATATAATATGTCTATATATTCCTAATTAACTAAAGCCAAACATAATATTCTTTGCTAATATCAACTAATACCAAAATATGGCAGCTTAACTCCTTTCATAATGTATTTTCTGTGTAAATACATGTGTTCTTATCTATATCTGACTCACAAAAAATCAAAATTCAGTGCCGGCTTCTTTCATAGCATTGCCACCGACCGCTGTCTGGGTTTCTCGGAAAAGAAACCTTACGTCGCCGGGCGACAACTAAAATTCAGTTAATATTTTATTATAATCGATCCTGACGAATGAATGAATTTCATAAATGAATATGAATTTTATAAATGAATGGTTTTGCTGCCAGATTACTAGATACAATATTTCAAGGCAGATGACGGATCTATTCGATAATTTTTATTCGAATAGTTTTCAACGAATGTTTTCTTACTAACTATCGAATTATTCGAATGAATTGCAACTATCGAATGTTTCGATAGTATTCATTCGATAGTTCCCACTACTAGTTCAAAGCCTACTTATTTAAAGCGGGCGAATTTTTATATATTCCATATCTCGAAGAGGAATCGAGGAAAATATCAAGTGTGTTATATTTTTGGAAAGGCAATTTTAAATTCTTTTCAATAAATTAAAAATATATAGGGTGTCCCATATAAAAAATCAAATTTTCTGTTGATAATTCTTAAATTAATAATTAAAAAAAAAGGTATACTTAAACCATTAAATTCTACGTAAAAAGGTGCGTTGGAAATGTTTTCATAAAAATACAAAATTTTCCATAGCAAAAAAGTTACGGCGATTTGTTAAAAATTCATATTTTTAAAAAACACCTTGTAACTCCGAAACGGTAACAGATATCGATATGCGGTTTTCGCCATCATGTTTTTGACAAAAATTGAGCTCCAGACACCGATATAGTAAACGCCACGAATGTTTGGGAGTGATTCATCGGTCGTTACCATGTGAACTAATCTGTTCAAGGTCACATAAAACTTAATTTCAGCGCCTTGGTGTTTCAAGTCATATAATAATCAATATATAATCTGTTGTAATTTGTTATTTTAACTGTCAAAGTCTTGTCAAAACATATATTTGGTTATAAATATAAAATGGAATGCCCCATTGGTCGCACACCAATGGACTGACGCACAAAAATGAATCAATCAAAGAAACGCGATATAGTATTGTCTTTGTCAATCACGTTAACGTTTTAGAATAAGTAGGAGGGGCGCAGGTAGATGATTAGATCGGGCCTTTAAAAACCTACGTCTGCGGTAAAAATTTACGTTTTTAATGTAAAAATGATACCGCGCGTGTCGATTCTAACTTCATCGAGCGATGAATCACTCCCAAACATTCGTGGCGTTTACTTTATTAGTTTTTGTCTATCTCCTATAGAAAAGGGCGTTTCCATTTAAAAGCGTCGAATTTGACCAACCCTGTACATTTTTGATGATAATGCTTTTTATTTGTTTGGGTACAATTTAGTTACGAAAGATTCTTTTTTCAAAACTATTAATATAATAAATGATTCGTCAGTTAAAGACGCTTAAGTAATAATAAATAATTTATTTAAAAATAAAATAATAATTAATTAATTAAAATATTAATAATTAAATTAATTACTTCATTTTAAAATCTATTAATGTCAAAAACTATAAAAAGGCTTATAATAGCATTATACCGAATTTTTCTGATTTGAATTTTAAAAAAATGGTTTATGCTAATCTGGTTTTGTATTAGCATTTGTTTTGAATTTCAGAATTCTAAGCCTCAATCAAAAGACAGTCTGTGTACAGTTATACAAGTGAAAAGTAATTGTAAACTGGATTTTTCTTGTAAGTTAAATAGTATCAGTTTCTTAATAAGTATCGTATCTCTATAATTTATATTATTATATACCTACAGTGCCATTTTATATACAGTATGTCCAAGAATATTAGACACAAGTTGGTAGAATAATTAATTAAATGCCCGTTTCGTATGCATAGGTCATGACTGGTAGTACACATTGGTAGAATGTTTTCTTCTTATGATAAAGTAGCTTTCTAGATTTCAATATGACTGAGTTTCTTCCATAAGTACTTCATGCTAGCTCAATTCTTCATTTGATTTCTGACAGTAGAGATCCCGAGCTGTGTATTAGTTGTCTCAAATATACAGGGTCCGGCAATAGTGCGTCGGGCATCTGTAGTTCCTAGAATAAAAAACTTGACAATTTTGTTTAATTGCATATCTTAAGTATGTACCAGGATGTATTTCAGGAAAATATTTTAACTTCTATAGGGTGGCTCAAAAAAGTGTGAGTGGAAGTCATTGACGTTTCGACCTGGTAGGGTCTTTATCAAAATTTATTGCTTGAACGTAGATTTCGGCCGTTTTATTTTAGTTTTTATTTTAATTTTTATTGTTTTCTTTTTACAATTTTATCATTTCCATTCTCAGCGAAGAAAATAATCCAATATCCAACATTGGCATCCACACACATAACATAAACATATCGATACAGTCATCACAATTTTTGTAAAGAGACATATACATTGAAATGGATTTTACAACACTTTGGTTTGGTTTAATTTCAACTTATATTGGTATATTTCTATTCCCGGTATTATACTGGGTATTTACTATGCAGTCGTCGGAAACTCCTTTTATTAAAATTAGGATGTTCATCTAAATCTACAGGTAGGTATATACATATACCCAGATTTTATTTATCTACAAATTGGGTACTTACCCACCATCCATCACTGATCCTTTTCAACTTTTCGATAAGTTATAAGATAATCGAGATTCAAAGGTTATCAAAAAATGCAAAAATTTCTACTAATTAAAAAATAAAAAGTAAAAGAAAGAAATAAGAAATAACTTTGAACTAAGAACTAAGGCTAGGATAAATCTGTGCGTAGCATATTGAGTTTCATAATAAGTAGAACAATGATGTGAAAACGGCATCTTTATCTCTACTCATAAACCAGAAACCCCGATAAATGGAACACCCTGTATATTATTGCATTTTTGGCTTCCCTTCAGATCACTTTACATAGCCCTAAGATATGAATAAATACGTTTCGATAGTTTCAGAGATATTAAAAAATAAATCAAAAATATATATTTTTCAGCCCTTCTTCTAAAAAAATATTAGAAATACAAGAACTGTTCTGAAATCAAAACTACACTAAGTATTTACTTTAGATGGTCTGTACTTACTTTGCTATAAATATGAAAATCTTAAATTATACAGGATGTTCAAAATTCTACGCCAAACTTTCTAAAATATAAAATAATTTTTCTCGTCTTCGTTTTTAAAATGGAACACCCTGTATATTATTTTTTTCAATAGATGGAGAATTAAAAAATGAACATTTTTTTTTATTTAGAGTATTTCAAAATTTTTTAACGGTTTCGCAGATATTTGCGGTTTTATATTTCATATGGCATTTTCCACAGTAAATTTTTATCAAAGCCACCCAATGATTTTTCTCTGGTATTTTACCATTGAAAGCGTCATATGAAATAATACTGCGTGTATCTGCGAAACCGTTAAAAATTTTGAAATACTCTAAATACAAAAAATGTTCATCTTTTTTTGTTCTATTTAAAAAAACAAAGAAAAATTATTTTATATTTTAGAAAGTTTGGCGTTGAATATTGAACATCCTGTATGATTTACGATTACCATATTTATAGCAAAGTAAGAACAGACCATCTATAGTAAATACCTCATATAGTTTTGATTTCAGTACAGTTCTTGTATTTTTAATAATTTTTTTAAGAAGGGCTGACAAATATATATTTTTAATTTATTTTTTAATATCTCTGAAACTATCGAAATATATTTATTCATATCTTAGGGTTATGCAAAGTGATCTGAAAGGAAGCCAAAAATGCAATAATATACAGGGTGTTTCATTTAAAAAAAATCATCCAGGTACACTCACAGTTTTTTGAGCCACTCTATAGAAGTTAAAATATTTTCCTGAAATACATCCTGGTACATACTATTCTAGGAGCTACAGATGCCCGACGCACTATTGCCGGACCCTGTATATTCTTCTACTATTCCCAGTGTTATGTTATTTCTTAAAACGTCTTTTCCGAGGGGCAAACCGCTGCCAAAAATGGTGTACAATAAATACCAATTTTGGGAAAAAAGTACCAAAAATACCAAATTATTTCCAAAAAAATACCAAATTAGAACCAAAAATACCAAATTAGTACCAAAGTCTGTCTTAAACAACATGTTTAAAAATTTGTTTGCTGGCATTGATTCTGGCTTATTCTCATCAGTTTCATTATCGGGTTCATTTAGACAAACCATCATCGTTTCCTTAAGAGCTTTCGATATTTCTCCATTTTCCTTAAGAGTAGAATTTATTTTCTCTAATATCGAAATAAAGTTGGTTATAAGAGGTTGATTATACTGAAACTTTTCAATTTTTCTTTTATTCCTTTGCGAGCGGCTGTATTTTGTAGACTTCCAAATTGAATTATTGCTTGTTGACGGTAAGGTTGAAGCGGCAGCTGATAATGGTAGTAAGGGAGTAACATCGGAGAATTATTATTGCTTGTGGATGGTATGGCTAAAGTGACGGCTGATAAAGGTAGTTCCGAGGCTCGTTTAGTTGGGGGATAATTACGCAGTCTAGTATTTTTACATTAGGATTTCTTTGATTACAGGGAGCTTCACATAGATTAGGGGGTACAAGTTTTCTACATGAGGGTTGGCATGCCTCTGTAATTTCCTCGGTATTTTCCGTAAAAGGCTCGGTAGAAGGCTTTTTTAGAAATGAAGTTATTTTTGGTTGTGCCTCAGAGGTATTTGAAGAATTATTGCTTACCTCGGATTTAAAACTTTGATTATTACTAATTTTTGGTATAAAAAATGTATTTGTATTTATTTGCTTTATCAAGTGTGTTTGAACATTTGAGCTTACCCAGCGTGCCTTTGTAACTCTTGTTTTTTTTTGTTTTTTGTAGAAGGATGATATTTTATTTGTAAAGTTACTTGCTTTTTACAAAAGCAGGTTATTTTGCATATTAAAGTCGATCCCGAAATCGAGTTTGCCTCGAAGTTTGCAGTAGAATTTGTGAGTAAAATTGATGTGCTAAAAATAATGTTATTAAACAGACTAATGCAGTTTAGAGTGCTCCAGAGTTCATCACGAATTTTTTACTTTAACCATTGTTTTTGTATTTTAGAAACTATATTATTTTCTTGGGTATAATCAGTTTCCAAAACATGTAGAGTGGTATCTTCTGAAAGACTTCCAGAACTAACAGGGGCGGATCGTGAATTTGTGGGGCCCTGGGCTGAAACTACTTAGAGGCCTACATAAGTACTCAACTAATAGCCATATCAAAAAACTGTTTCTATAATGATATATTATTATTCTTCTTCCTTACGTGCGGTCTCTTTCGTGGAGGTTGGCGATCACATTGACAAAATCTTCACGATACTCGGCTTTCCTTATGAGTTCTTCAAAAGTTAGGTGAGTCCAGTTTCTGATGTTTCTCAACCAAGATAGTTTCTTCCTGCCGAGACCTCTCATTCAATTAAAATCGTACTTACTCCAATCTATGTCTGAGTCTTACACCTCTTGCAGTGACATTTTTATGCTCATGTATGAAAATAAACTTATTAACGTGTTCCCTAACTGCTATACCATTTTAAAGATTTTTTTAAGATTGCCAATCACTAGCTGTGAAGCAGAACGCTCCTTCTCCAAGATGTATATGGAGAAAATAAATATAGGACAACAATGTCGAACCATCGACTAAATAACTTATCGCTTCTTTCCATAAATTGTGATCTAACAAAAGACTTGGAATGTGATGACCAAATAACTGTCAATTTCTGTGACTACAACCTATCAATTTCTATTACTAATTCATAATAAGTAAATAAATAAAATTGTTTTATTGTTTTTTTAAATTCTTATATAATATCACTATTTCGGTTTCTCTCTCACCCAAAGTTTGCCTGGAAGAGATTGCTGCTACAGCAATTAGGTCGCCTTTCGTACAACTACTACTTGCGTAGATTTAAGTAACATTTATGTTGCTTAAATCCACATATCTCACAAATTCCGAAGTCTACAGCAGAATAGGCAGAGAAAGAGAATTGCTCAATATAATAAAATTAAGAAAAACATCATACTTAGGGCATATATTGAGAAATTAAAAATACCACGTCTTACAATTGATAGTTAAGGGTAAGATTGAAGGAAAGAGGTCTCGGCAGGAAGAAACTATCTTGGTTGAGTAACATCAGAAACTGGACTCACCTAACTTTTGAAGAACTCATAAGGAAAGCCGAGAATCGTAAAGATTTTGTCAATGTGATCGCCAACCTCCACGAAAGAGACGGTACGTAAAGAAGAAGAATAATAATATATCATTATAGAAACAGTTTTTTGATATGGCTGTTAGTTGAGTACTTATGTAGGCCCCTAAGTAGTTTCAGCCCAGGGCTGAGTAATACATGAGCATAAAAATGTCACTGCAAGAGGTGTAAGACTTAGACTTAGATTGGAGTAAGTACGATTTTAATTGAATGCACTCGTTCACTAAATGCTCGTCTACGTGCAATTTCCAAATCTATGTTTTCGATATTTTTGTCTTGCAAATCCATTAAAAATTTGAATTTTTTGCTATATGTCTCATAGATTTGTCTCCTTTTATTTATATCCATAATCAGCTTATCCAAAGCAACTTTTAACGTGTCTCTCTAAATCTTTCTGTGCTGTATACTGAGAATTCACCTGTAGACTTATCTGAAAATTTTGGGATAATGCGTCTCTTGTTTATGTAATTGTAGTCTATTACTACACTAGTACTTAATTTTTTAGCTTTCTCGTCGTATTCCTGTAGCATTTGATCTGATTGGTGTCGTATGTTGCTCACAAAGTCTTTTAAAGACACAATTAACTTGTTGCCTTCACAAATGTCTAAACCAGGGCTCTGTATTTTTTTATTAACTAAATGAAATCTGTCCAAAACTTCTTCCCAAAAGAAAATGAAAATTGCAGTCTCGAGTTTCGCCATTTTATTGAATGAATTTCGTGCCTCTTTCCGGAAATCAACTTTCTCAACCTCATTTTCGCTGAAACTTTTGAAAATTTTCATAATGTCATCATAATTATTTTTAAGGCTATGACAGCATCATAGTGGCAAGGCCATCTGGTCTGGCTAAAATTTTTTAACCTGAATTTTAATTTTATTTCACGATTCAACAGTTCCCACCTATGGGTCTATTGTTTTTAGCGGGGCCTGGGGGCCCCTTGTAACGTTGGGGCCCTGGGCTGCAGCCCAAACAGCCCATAGGTAGATCCGGCCCTGAGAACTAAACGATTCTGTCAAAGAACCTTTAGATTCCAGATATTTTTAAGTATTAGCATGTACTTGGGGCTAGAAATATAGATATTTTTCAGTATTAGCTTTAGATGCAAATGGGCCAGAAATGATGCAATCCAAGTTAAGATATTCTTGGTCTATTTTTAATCCTTTGTTGGTCCAGTCCAGTTGACGGAAGATTTCTTCTAATGTTGCTGTAAACAGTTTTGGGGATATCGTGTCTCCCTGTCGTACTGCTTTGCCAGTTGGGAACTCTTTGGGGTTGTTTCGTATATCATTACTCTTGCTTTGGCTTCTTTGTACATATTGGCGAGAGTTTCTATATGAGGCCTGTCAATACCTTGTTTCGCTAGGGCTTCTATTATTGCCTTCTATTCTAAAGCCGTCTCAAAGTCTATAAGGCAATGGCTAGTGGAAGTTCGTATGCTTTTGTTCGGCTGATAGTTTCTCTTAGTGTATGTAATCGTGCTGAAGCCGCATCTAAAGCCTGCTTGTTTTTGTGGTTGTGCAGCCTTTAGCGTGTCTTGTATTTTGTTGTTTATTATTTTTGTGAATATCTTGTATGTTACTGATAGCTTACAGCTCTTTGCTGCCTTTCTTATGAATTTGAATTATGTTGGTGCTATTCCAATCTTGTGGTATTATGTATTATCCTATATTACATAACGACTATTATATGTAATGTATTTTGCTTCAGATTGACTGATAACTAACATGGACGACGAGACTAACATTCCGATGATTTTGAGAAAGAAGATACCAAAAAAATTTGAAGAAATTAAGAATGGAGATTATACCTTTGATGACTACTACTACCCTGTACATTTGTACTTGCGTGAAAACGATGTAAGAGTTGAAGAAAATAGTAGTGAAATTTCTCAGTTTCTAAAGGGAAAGAATGTTTTAGTTACAGGAGGCACAGGATTTCTTGGTATGTACACGAAATTTAGAATACTTGGTATTTTTTTCTGAATATTAAAAGGCCTAGTAAGGCCTACTGTGTTTGTCCCCACCAGTGTTGCCAGAAATTTTCGAGCGAATTTCTTCATCGGAGCCTTAAAAAACCTTCATATTCCTTCAACTTTACAAAAAAATTCTAGATATCGTGAAAAATCACCAAATTTCCTGTACAGGGTGGCGCCTCTCATACGCCGCGGAAGCTCCAAGGAGAACGGTAGTTTATATAGAAATGAAATTTGGGCACCATATGTAGGTTAGTTGAAAGCATTTTATAAAAATATATAGAATTATACAGGATGTTTTCAAAAAAAGTTACAAATCAAAGTTTTGTTTTTTCTAATGGAACACCCTATCACAGAATATCTAGCTACGCTACGTGGTGTAGGGAATAAATCAGTTTAAGTGAAAATTTGCAGTTTCTTTCAGAACGAAAGAATACTACTATTATAAGGGAAATTATAAAAAAAAGCAAAAATTGTACTGTTTTATAAACATATTTATTTATACATAAAAATAAATAAACTCTATATAGTATAATAACAAAAAATAACAGTGTTTATTCCACCCACCTACCAATTTTAAATGCAGAAGAACTGACTGTTGCAGGAAACGATCGGCCAATTTTTTTAAAGGGCATTAAAAATCTCATTTTTGAAAAAACTGCCTAATTGCAATAACAAAGTGAATATCCAAGCAAAGAAGACTTTACGAGAATCATGATCCTGAACCATTTTCAAGTCCAGTTTTAATCCTAAAACAAAAGTAAAATAGGTATATTAATAAAGTTTCTGGTTACTATAAACCAGCTATAAACTCTACCCAAAAAATGAAAAAAATTAATTGTATTAATTTGTTATGTTAAGAGAGGTTCGAAATATTTTTGACACTACTACTTCTACTTTTTTCTTAATAAGATGATAAATATAACTACTTACTTTTATTTTACCGGGTGTCTTTAACATATCTATCAGAGAAAGGGGGTACCAATACATATAAAAAATAGATGATACTGGCTCCTGCAGCAAATAAAATAACAAATAGTAAAACCTAAAATTATAAGTAACAAAATATAAATACCTATCTGGAACAAAAGAATTTGTTCCCTATCCATATTCATAAGTCAATAAAACGGAAGTTTAGAAAAAAAGGTAAATCACCAAAAAAAATTAACAAATATGACGAATTGTCATGATGTTATCATCTTGGTTGTCATGATAACGAAATCGAAAAGCGATTGTTCTAATTTCTATTTAGAAATTACGTTTTATATGGCTGCTTCTTTCTCTCTTGTTATATTAGAATGAGATAGTGGGCCCAATAGATGCAATGCGCAGATCAACATAAATAGAACGAAATTTTGCGTTCTGAGTTGCGCTACGGGAACGTTGTCCCTCTCTTTGCCATTTAATTTGCCAGTCTCTTTTTATTTGTTTGTCTAAGCCGGAGTCTCATGCATCCGAAATCCGATTGTACGACATCCGAAATTTGAAGTTATCGTGTGAAATAAAAAAAGCCTGTCACATACATCCGAAAGTTCGTTCCGAAATTTGACAGTTTTAACATTTTTCTGCTGCGCTGAATAGAGATTCATGTCATGTTTTATTGGAGAAACACTTATAAAAAATAACTTCCTCGCCAAATATCCCGAAATTGCCCACTTCCCACTAAACTTGTTTTTAAAAAACAAATGTTTTCAAAAAAGTGAGGTTAAAAAACACACGATATCGTACAAAAGTTAAACAAAATTTAACTTTATACGACGTCGGATGATTAGTTAAAATTATCGGATAAAAATTGTTGTCAAAATATTTCGACCAATAGGAGCACCGTCGGATCGTCGTGTCATCGGATTTCGGATGCATGAGACTCCGGCTTATTATGTCTCTACAAGAAACCGTTGACGTTCTGTTAAAATGACATTTTTAACTTGATATTTAAACTTAACTTAAATAAACAAAATTAACAATTACTACCTGATAACAATTACTTAATAAGGTAAAACCAAAAAGCCCCAAACTTTCAGTATGATTATTTTTAAATTTTACGACCATACCAATAGGTATGGTAGGCTATAGGATCGGCAAAAAAAGTTTTTTTAATTTCACTCAAAATGAGTTATTTGGGTCATAAATGACCTAAATACATAATATTTTCATGCTGTCTGTCTGTCTGTCTCTCTGTCTGTCCGTCTGTCCGTCTGTAACACGATAACTCAAAAACCGGTGAACCGATTTTAACCAAATTTGGCACAAAAATACTGTGGCACCCGAGAATCTGGCTATTAGTTTTTGGTGGCGGTGGGGGGTTGGTAAGGGGGTTAAAAATTTTAAAAATCGTAACTCCAAAATTACAGTAGCTAGCGAAACGCGTTTTTTTAAATGAAAGGTATATATGTCTAGATTTGTTATGAAGTATCTTTAAATTGTTGAATGACTATTTCTTTGTGTAAATCGACTAAATATTAAAACATACCTGAAAAGCACCTACACACAATACCTCCAGAAATAAATTATGTTGTCATTGTCAGTGGTTTGTCAGTTAGATTATATATCAAGTTTTTAGATAATTTAGGGATCAGTTCATACAGCCAGCTTTAGATACATAAATATTAGAACAAAGATTCGTTTAAACGACATTAGTGAAGTAGCTACACAAAGCGATTTTAGGAAATTCATCCTCTTAGAGAGTAAAATTATGTCGGAACAATTTGTTGTATGAAAATTCCTTACTATGTGGTCTAGAAGAATGAAATCCTAAAAAAAGAATTAGAAGAGATTTCTGAAATCAAGAGATTTCTTTCATCAACCAAATGGGTAAAGTTAGTAAAAATTTATATAAAACTTGGTGACCTCTGGATTATACACATAAAAATTGGCACAAAGAATCATTTAAAAGACATGAGTTAATTATTTGGATAAAGCGATTTTATGAAATTTCTTAGAGAGTAGAATAGGGAATGAAAGTTTTCTGTACGAAAATGCATTACTATAACATCTAGCAGTATAAAATTTTATACAAGGGTTTATTTAGTGACACATCAATAATATAAACGAAATATTTCTTCTTCAATTATCCTTCAAGGAATAAAAAATAACTATAAATGGAGTATTAGTGCTCTTAATAAACCAAAAAAAGAGATGAAAAATAAAAAAAAATATCAAGGGAGTATATTAAGTAAAGCGACAATTGAAAATTTCAAATATTCAAAAAACTTCATATTTCATTTAAAATTTTGGCGTTATTAAAACCAATGAATACAGACCAACAAACAAAAAATGTAATATACCAAATATGTGTGAATGCGATAAATTTTACATTGGTGAAACATCTAGACCCTTAAATGTCAGAATTAAAGAACATAAAGATTATTTAAGAAAGGTAGATTTTCACAAATCTAAGATTTGTCAGCATTCTTGGGACACAGGGCACAGAATAAATTTTAATAACGCCAAAATTATAATGAAAGAAGCGATAGCCTCTAAAAGAAAAATAAAAGAGGCTTTTTTAATTCAATCTAATAAAAATAAATGTATTGCTCATGCATCTGTGGATGTTAGTAATGTATAGCAATCGCTTCTTTGATTTTAAAGAACAATAGATACAAGATAAATAAACATAACATACGTAAAATTTAAAAATAATCATACAGAAAGTTTGGGGCTTTTTGGTTTTACCTTATTAAGTAATTGTTATCAGGGAGTAATTTTTAATTTTGAAGTTTAAATATCAAGTTAAAAATGTCATTTTAACAGAACTTCAACGGTTTTTGTAGACGTATCTGTTTTAAAAAAGTAAAGTGTTCTCGAATAGTTGAATTGAAATATTTTAAATAGTTTTTTTCTTTATTCTTTGTATTTTTTTTGCTTCCGACGACGGAAAGAGATAACTTTTCGAAACGTTAAGCATTTTTTTAGGCAAATTTGTATTACTATAAACATAATTTCTGACAAGCAGCGTCCGTTTAGGTTTAACGCAGAAGTGTTTACAAAAAATAATTATTTTATTTTGTAGATTTTCTTGCAGTGCAGTGGCAAAAAATGTTCATTTAAAAATAATTAAATGAACTAATAAAGCCAATTATACCGATTATACAGCTGAAACTTTTGATTTTGTTTAGGTTTTGTTCTAGTTGTTTTAGATTTAATTGATTGTTTACTAATTTTGTTTTCAACTTTTCATTTTTTATTTTTACATAATTATTTATAAATTTTTGCAAAAAGGCATAAAATATTGTTCCAAAATCCGATGGGCACATAAAATTTTACATTTAAGAAAAAAGGTTGCACCAGTGCAGTCCCGATTTTTGAAATGGAAAAGGTGGCAACCCTGCTATTGCCTGAACCTTTATAATTTTTTATGTATAAATTATGAAGTTTTTATGCATAAATTTTCAGTCAATATAATCTTTTTTTTTTGGAATAAATAGAATAAATGAATGAATGAATACTAAAGAAGTAAATAAAAAACCTTATACGAGGGCAATAACCTCTGTTATTTTTGCGCCTCTGTATAGCTTCCTGCTATTCCAATGGCATACTTTTTAAACTTATTATGCTGTGACAATATGAATTGTTAGAAATTGCTAGAAAAATAATTGAAACTTGTTTTGATAATTTGCATATAATAAGTTAGTATCAAACAAATTGATTATTCAATTGTTTGTGCTAAATGACGCAATTTTGTGTGTGTTTCTTTAAATAATTTTTGATGATTTATTTTAATAGTATTAAATGACAAAGCTCAACATACATAAAATTGATGTTTTAAACTAATTGATGTTTTTTAGAGACCTTAAACAATTCTGTCTTTTAAATACACAATATGAAATTGCAAATAAAAATGTAAAGTAAACAAACAAACAAACAAAAGAGAATACAAAACATTATACAAATAACGTTTGAATTTTCAAATACAAAATAGTTTTAATTATAATTAAATTTTAAATTTTAGGAAAACTATTAGTCGAAAAACTAATAAGATCATGCAAAGATATTGGTAAAGTTTACATAATTATAAGACAGAAAAAAGGAAAAGACTTCCAAGTTCGAACTAAGGAATTTTTGGATAACTGGGTAAGTTAATAAAATTGAAATGGTGTAAAAAAATCAGGGGGTGATAGTACTCCTAAAAATAGTAAAAAAAGTTCCTATAAATATACGGCGGAAAATGCATATTAAGGGAGTTAGGGGCACTGAAAGGGAAATTTTATTTACACAATACTTTGATCTAAACAAATGAATCGGTAACCGCGCATACTCCTTAAAAAGTAAAAATGAAAAAAACAATTAAACATTTAACTTTAGAGAATAGACAATTAAATTGCCAGGTGTTACAAACATGAATTAAAGAAATACCCAATAAATTATCTATTGAACAATCTAAAGAGGCTACGTACAAATTATGTCCATCAATGGACATAGCAAATCTTGTTAATATTCAAATTGCACAAATTAACAATTCAGCTAAAGGAAGAAAAGTAACTGATGAATTTAAATATAAATGTTTGGCTATATTTTTAAAAGCCAAGCCGGTAAAAAAAATTTGAGCCGTCAAATTTGACAGCTGTCAAAAAAGTTGTCCGATTTTGATAAAAATCGATATATTGGATGCTCCCTACCCCATAGTCGGTTTTCATTTTATTTGTCTCACATTTGAAGTGTCAAATTTGACAGCTGTCGTTTTTTTAAGTTCTCCTTTTTTATGAGAATCGATACACGTATTATTAGGATGCCCATAGGTAGTTATTTAAGAAAAAGAATTGAGTTTAAGTGTGTGTCACTGAGAAACCAGCATAACTTAAAAAGTAAAAAATAAATTTAAGAAAAAAACTTTTTAAAAACAAGCTTTTATTTAAATACATTAAAAAACTTTTTCTTTAAAACTTTTATTATGAACTTATAACGTCATTACACAATTTTATATTATATAAAAGCTTGTCGCGAGATTTGAGTGTACAGTTGCACTCATAAAAATCTGGTACAACTTTATCTTGTAATTCCAATATCTTGTAAACCTATCATTATTCCCATCCAGGATAAATTCATCCAGTTTAGAAGAGAAATGGGGTGTAAAAAAATCAGGGGGTGATAGTACTCCTAAAAATAGCAAAAAAAGTTCCTATAAATATAGGAAAATGCATATTAAGGGAGTTAGGGGCACTGAAAGGGTGAATTTAAAAAACGATTGTTTTGAAATTGCAGGTTTAAAAAACGAGATAAAATTTCGAAAAAAAATGCTCTGCCCTTACGTTTCAGGCCGTGTGGGGTAACTACTATACCACGGCATATAAATCACACGGCAGGCTAACTCTGCCCAGATCCCATTGTTTAAAATTTCTATAAAATTTCACCTTGAAAACACCATTATGGGTGCCGAGTCAGGGCCGGATTAAAACGTATCAAAAAAATTCCCAGAAAATAAACTATTGATAGACAGGGTCGTATTAAAAAAATGCTGTAATTGGCTGAAACTGAATTTTATTTACACAATACTTTGATCTAAACAAATGAATCGGTAACCGCGCATACTCCTCAAAAAGTAAAAATGAAAAAAACAATTAAACATTTAACTTTAGAGAATAGACAATTAAAATTAAAAAACATGCCAGGAGTTACAAACATGAATTAAAGAAATACCCAATAAATTATCTATTGAACAATCTAAAGAGGCTACGTACAAATTATGTCCATCAATGGACATAGCAAATTTTGTTAATATTCAAATTGCACAAATTAACAAATCAGCTAAAGGAAGAAAAGTAACTGATGGATTTAAATATAAATGTTTGGCTATATTTTTAAAAGCCAAGCCGGTAAAAAAATTTGAGCCGTCAAATTTGACAGCTGTCAAAAAAATCTCAAAGTTGTCCGATTTTGATAAAAATCGATATATTGGATGCTCCCTACCCCATAGTCGGTTTTCATTTTATTTGTCTCACATTTGAAGTGTCAAATTTGACAGCTGTCGTTTTTTTAAGTTCTCCTTTTTTATGAAAATTGATACACGTATTATTAGGATGCCCATAGGTAGTTATTTAAGAAAAAGAATTGAGTTTAAGTGTGTGGCACTGAGAAACCAGCATAACTTAAAAAGTAAAAAATAAATTTAAGAAAAAAACTTTTTAAAAACAAGCTTTTATTTAAATACATTAAAAAACTTTTATTATGAACTTATAACGTCATTACACAATTTTATATTATATAAAAGCTTGTCGCGAGATTTGAGTGTACAGTTGCACTCATAAAAATCTGGTACAACTTTATCTTGTAATTCCAATATCTTGTAAACCTATCATTATTCCCATCCAGGATAAATTCATCCAGTTTAGAAGAACATTTAAAAAACTTTGTGTCCGAATATTAAATACGGGTACTGAAAATTGCCAAAATGATCTGGCAAACATCTTATTAAAAACGGCAGACCTTATAAAAAACGAGACCTCTTTTCTTTTCTCTCTGAATTGTCATGAGCTATCCATAAAAATTAAAAATAGATACGGATAATCAGAAAAACATTAATTTAGAAATGAATCTTGTTTGTCATTTTGCAGGATACCTAATAATAAAAATTACTTTGAATGCCGTAGACAATGACTGAGTATTAAAACTAAAAGAATTTCGGACTTTCATTGTACTACTAAACTACAAAAACCAAATATATCACACAATAAACAAAAATAAAACTAAAAAAAACAAAATATATCACTAAAGAAAAGAATGAAATAAATTAAGCCGCACGCTACTGACTCAAAGCTGCCGTAACTGTATGTTGTCGATGACAAAGACTACGACTGACTACGACACTGGTTAATTTCTGTCGCTGGCACCCATAATGGCGGCGTGCGCAAGGGTATGCGCGTAGCGTTCCCGCCAAAGCGAGTCGGCCTGCCGTGTGATTTATATGCCGTGACGATACACCACTGAAATATTTCAAAAACGATTAATATTTTGTCACTCAGGTAATTTATTAGTAATTATTTGTAAAGTTTAATAATAAAACGTCAATAATTTAAATATTTTGTATTTGTTTAATATAAAAAACATTTAATTTTAAAACTCAACTCTTTTTTTATTAGTTTTCTACACATTATTTTGGTACACATTTTTACACATTCTTTACCGAGAATATTAAAAATGGGGTTTTTGGATGTATTACATAATATTTTTGTTTTTCTCTTACGTGATCTGGCGCAAAAGCCGCATCTTCGGTTTGAATTAGGTTGAATCTCTTTAGCAGGATTTATAGAAACTGTGCTTTTGGCAAGAAATCATTTTATTGCTGTTTTTACAGTTTTGTGAAACTTGTTACTATTTTATTTACTTCTTAGAACGTTTAGAAGTACTTAGGTACAAGTCCTTGTGATGAAGGATTGCTCTTCGCAGCTCTCGAAGCAAATTCGGCAGGAATTTTTTTTTTGGGGAATCCATCATCAGTATATTCCTTTTGCGCCATTTTCCAATAAATATACACACTAACTTACTACATCACAGTAAATACCAACACTAAACTGAATATAGAACTTGTTTACGTCTTCATACAAAGTCACCAACACAAAAAAAAACATGAATAGTGCGTGTAGGACTTCGAATCATTGCAGGCCGTGCGGGGTAACGGTGGTACCCCGGGCAGTAAATTTCAGTTTTTCGCCGAGAATAAAAAAATGATTTGGCTATTTTTGTTAACAAAGGGTTTTGTAATATATATTCTAGGATTACCTAATAGGAAAAAAGTGAGAAATAAAAATTGTAAAAGTTATTAAAGAAAAAACGCATCTGGGGTACCTAAAATACCCCGCACGGTCCCGGAAAGGTTAATCACGTGACTAAAAGTTTATTTAGTATGAACTGTAAGTATTCTATAGGTGCCCGGTGCGTAGAGGTACAGGAGACATCTCGTCTACCAATCTCAAGGTAGTGGGTTCGAATCCCACACCCGGCATTTCATCAGCCGACTATTTTTATTAACATAAAAATAGTTTGGGTACCTAGGTCGACTCAGCCTTAAATGAGTACTTGGGATTCACAATCCTGAGGTAATAATAGGCGGTTGAAGCGTAGTCCTAGCCACATTACCTTCCATGTATACCAAACGGCTCTAGTATGGCAAGCTGTACCTTGCTACTCCCAAGGCGTTAAACCATAGTATAAGGAAACTAGTAGTTTTACTCCTTGTCAAATCCTTTGTTCTTTTTCTGCCACTTTATATAACCTTGTTCTCGCCTCCGTAGCCGACGACGTAGCTGTATAGTCATGGTCTATTAACTAGGCAAAGTATAGACGTGGCACTCGCCATAGTTTCACAGATATGTATTTAGGAAAATATGAGTTCACAATAAAATAAAGTAAAAAAAATGGCCATCGAGTAAAAACTTGCTTGAAAACAGAATATTTTCACATTTCGTGTAAGATAACAATTCTTCTGTATCTGAAAAATTTCTGATGGGAAGAAATGCGGAAAAAATATATAATGACATATTTTTATATTATTATCTATTTCAGAGATTTTCTACGACTTTTTTTTTATTTAAAGCAAGTTTAATTTTCTGTAGATAACTGGATTCGACATAAAATTATGCTATAGTACACTGTCTTTATTTAAAGCACACTTCGGTGTTGCCAATCTATTTCTTATTTACTAAAACTTTGGTTAAAAACATTATATACGAAAAGGGGTAAAAAACTAGAGTGAATATAACTTTATTAATACTTTGCTATGTTTTTTTAAACATGAAGGATATCGGAATAAATTCGTGTAGAAAAATTTACTTTATCGTATACAGGATATTTTTTATGGCGTCACCAAAATCGTAATATTTAAAAAATGTTGTATCTCATTTTTTTTAAATGCAACACCTTGTATATTATTTTTCTTTCAGATGTAGAATTAAAAGGTGAACATTTTTGACAAGACAGACAAAGATCATATTAGGTGGCTTTGAAAAAAATTTACTGTTGAAAGAGCCATATGTAATATAATATTGCGAATATCTGCGACAGCGGTAAAAATTTAGAAATACTTTAAATTAATAAAAAAATGTTCACTTTTTAATTCTGCATCTGACAGAAAAATAATATACAGAATGTCGCATTTAAAAAAATTGAGATATACCATTTTAAATATTGCGATTTTGGTGACGCCATAAAAAAATACCCAATATAGAATAATGTATATAGAATGATGTAAAATAATAAAAAAAATCAAACTAACTTTACCATAACTTTTTTTGTGACACCCTGTATATAACAAAATATTTTAAGATACACCCCTTTATAAACCTTGAAACATATGAATAAAACTTTTTTCACATCTTCGACAACGACGACAATATTGGACTTCCTCGCACTAATGGGCCACCCTGTATATTTACGGTGGTTTAAAGCTAGGTGTGGCACTTTTCTTCCCTCAAATATAAACTCAATATTTTGTCTATAATATTTTGAAAATATTGTTATATATTATGACCACTTATAATAAAAAATAAATAAAAAAAACATGAAAAAATACAGTCCACTAAATTTATAAGAGATTATGCTATTATAAAATTCTTTCAATTAAAAAATATGAATAATTTGCGGAGACTTTAGATGTACAAAATATTTACTCTAAAATTGTTTCAAAAACCAATTTATATAAATTACCTCGTAAATTATTATTGAAATGAAAATTTTATGGAAAATCCCCTGACCAAAAAATATTTTCATGTGCATATTTGAGACAACCTGTATATCTAAAAAACTATTTTTAAAATCTGCACATATGCTAAAAAAAATAATAACATTTAATTAATTACATAATATCTCAGGTTCTAAAATAAACAAATATAATTAAATGTTAACTGATAATTACTATCAGCTTGCCGATTTACATCCGATGGAAATCTAAAAGACTCAAAGAACAATTTTTGAATTATTTCCACAATTAATAGCAGCGCATAGTAAGGCACTCATTTTTTGTCAATCCGTCCCTGTGCTCGGACGCAACGCTCGAACCTCACAGCTCGACGGACCGAATTCAACTGAAACGCTTTGCAACCTGCCAGCTTGCAAAAACTGGCAGAAAATATTTGCGAGAGTGCAACTACTCTTTTCCTAACTATGGTTAAACGCTATTATACGGGAGCTATTATTATTAACTGTAACTATTGTGTATTTGTTTTGTCTACCTCTCCAATGGGCACTTACCCTAGTATCCTACAGGCAGAAATCTACGCTATCGAGAGATGCGTACAACTTATCTTAGATAGGAACTATCGGAAACAAGAAATAGCCATCTTATCTGATAGTCAAGCAGCGTTAAAGGCGATCAACTCAGTATCAATCAATTCGAAATTGGTCAAAGAATACATAGAGAAACTGAACAAATTAGGCAAAGAAAACAAAGTCCTCCTACACTGGGTGCCTGCTCACCAAGGGATAAAAGGCAATGAAAAAGCAAATAATCTAGGTAGAAAAGGAGCGAACACTCCACTAACTGGACCAGAACCGTTCTGCTTTCCAAGTGGTAACCAACTCAAGGAGGAACTCAAGAACTTGGAAGATTCCATCCGCAACCTGGAATGGAAATCTTGCAATGGTCTAGGACACTCGAAGAAGTTTCTGAGGGCTTATGATCAATAAAAATCACAGATCTTCCTAGGTCTGAGTAAGAACAATCTTCGGATTGTCACGGGGTTTTAACAGGACACTGTCTCCTCAATGAACACCTCAGTAGATTGAAACTAAGAAGAAACGGCGAATGCAGATTCTGTGGGGAAGATGGTGAAACACCAGTACACCTCATCACTGAGTGCGCCGAGACGACAACCATTCGTGCCATGAATTTTGGTACGACTGATATTGGAGATGGAGAACTACCCTCTATAAAACCGTCCCAGATACTGGCTTTTGTCAAAGCCCTGGGACTGTATGATGAGTTATGATTCAAGAAAGGGGGACACAATGGATCTGTAAGGTCGAAGTGATTAACCCCCCTCCCACTCATTCTAAATTCTAAAAAATTTGTCTACCTCTTTCCTTTATGTTGATACTATATTAATAAAATTAACAGAATTTATATTAATTTTAGGTGTTTTATAAGCTGGCAGAAATTTATCCAGATTTCCGAAAAAAAATTGTTGCACTTAGTGGTGATTTTGCTGAAGAAGATCTAGGATTGTCTGAAGAATCTAGACAAATTATATACGATAATGTATGTATGTGGAATGAACTTAGGCCTATACGAACAGGGTGTCCCATTTTCGTGAGTTTTACGGTGTTTCTCGTTTATGAGTAAAGATACAAAGATGCGGGGGAAAAAGTTTGGATCATATTTCAAGAACGAGAGTTGTCAATAAAAGAACTAGTTACGCCACTGAATTCTACGTAAAAAATCTACTAACTCTGCTTAATTTTTACTTGTTCGATATGTTATAAGATACCCGAGATACGAGGGGAGTAGAAAAATGCAATAATTTCAAATTAACCCTGTATTTCAGAGAACAAATCTTCGGATTGTCACGGGATTTTTAACAGGCCACTGTCTTCTTAATGAACAACTCAGTAGATTGAAGCTAAGAAACAATGGCGAATGTAGATTCTGTGGGAAAATGGGACACCCTGTACATATTTTTTTAAAGAAAAAATTAAAAATTTACAAATATCAGGAGAAAAAAATATTTCTGTTTACTATTATTATTATTAACAAAATTCAATCTATACCATTTTATTTAACACAATATAATTCATAGTGCAGTGGAAATATACTTTTTCAGACAACTGGTTTAAATTAAACCGGTATAATAATAATAATTTGGGATTTTTGATGGAACTTTTTGATCAGATTTCATTAGAATGAATGATATTCATAAAGAAGAAATAAAAAAAGAATATATAGAGTGACACAAAAACACATTTTTGAACCAAACTCGTATATTTTGTATTTTAATTTTATTGGGTATCGAATAATTATGTATACTGGATGCGTCTGTAAAGTGGCTCACCCCTATAACTTTTTTATTTTTTCAGATAAAAAATTGAGATTTGGTATGTTAGTGTATGACATAAATTAGGACTGATTGATATATTCAATTGTTTTCGGTCACTTCCTTTTTCACCGGATATAAATACCGTATGGTCGAGAAAAAACGGCGTCAGCGATGGCTATGAAATGAAGATCGCTGTCAATTTATATGTAAATTTATATGGGAAATGTCATCGACCGTCATTTCCCGGCCAACTGGACGCCATTTTTTTTCGATCATACGGTACATACTTTATTCAATAGAAACAACTTTGAATAGAATGACATATTATATGTGAACTTTTGACTTTTTCGAATATGAAATTGATTGATATTATTTGAAATTGCCACATGAGATTCATATCGACAATTTGACTCGAATTACCAAGTGTGTGGTACCAAATTATTCGTAAAAATTGCTTTTTCCAAATATGCTAATGAACTACCCTCGTTCAATTTGAAAAAATTGAGATGTGATTAAAAATACGATTTGGTCATCTTTGAACTGGCCAGGACGAGACACTAAAAACATTAGACCATCAAATCTATTTTTCCAAGGCTCCTTGATTAAAAATTGGTGTTTTTAACACAACCATGGCACTCTAGATAGAAATTTAAAATATGTTCAATTTTATTTTAAACGAAACTGTCAAAATTTGATATATGATATGTTATTCTATTCGGAGTGTCATTTTCTATCGAATAAAGTAAAAAAATACCGAGTGTTCCGTTTAAAAATCAAAAGTTATAGTCATTTCCGGCGAAACAGGAAGTGACCGGAACGAACTGAATACGTCAATCGTTCCTGATTTATATCTTATACATATACAGCAAATCTCGTTATTTTATCTGAAAAAATAAAAAAGTTATAGAGGTGAAAAACACTATTATAGCACTTTATTTTATCAATTTAGGTAAACATTATATACCATGCAGCTGCAACCATACGATTCGATGAGAAAATCAAGACGGCTGTGGATATAAACATTAAAGGAACAAGAGAAATCATTAGGATCGCAAAACGCTGTAAAAATTTTGATGTGTTCACGTATATAAGCACGGCATATTCAAACTGCCATATGAAACGAATAGGCGAACAACTCTATCAACCTGTCATGGATCCAGATTTACTAATTCAGGTCACTGATAAAACTCCAGAGCCAATTTTAGCTAGAATAACACCAGGGTAAGTTTTTTTAATTTTACCTAAGTAAATAAAAGGAATTATATCCCCTTTCTTGAGTTATAACTCGGCATACAGTCTCAAGGCTTCGACAAAAGCCAGGACGGTTTTGTAGATGTTAGTTTTTCGATACTAGTTGTACACACATGGCCAAAATTACTGCATATATCATTTAAAAATATACGGAAAGGAATTTAAAGAATCTTTTTTTATACATAGCTTTGATAATCTGTAATAAAATTTTTTTGTTAAAATGGATATGGTAAACAATATTATTACAAATTCTTGCACATTTCGATTTGTGGTCTCTTGCGTTTCAGAAGAAATTTGACCATTGTTTTGGCCTTAAAATGCCTAGAAACATTATTTCACAGTTTAATAGAGTCAGAATTGTAACACTGTCTCAACAGGGCTACCGGCAAGTTGCAATACCTGAAATTGTAGGAGTTAACCAAAGCGATGTTGTGCAAATATTAAAAAAAATCAGAGAGATATACGAGGTTACAGACCGGCCTGGAAGAGGTAGAAAGAGAGTTACTACTGCTGTGCAAGACCGTCAAATATCCCTAATTGCACGACGCAATCCCCTGCTTTCTAGTACTGCTATTAAAAATGAGTTAGCTCGCATTGAAGGAGTAAATGTTTCAAGAAAGACCATAGCAAGAAGACTCCATGACAGAGGATTACAATTAAGAAGGCCTCTACGTGTTCCGAAGCTTAATTTACAGCAAAAATTACGCGACTACAATGGGCTGAGGAGATGAGAGAAAATGGACCTAATTGGAATTTCGTCATGTTTAGTGATGAAACACGAATAGGCCTAGTGTTAGACTCGCGACGAACTTTGATCTGGAGAGCATCTGGAAGACGAGCACGCATGAATGCAGCTCAACCCCGTGATCCGTTTCAAGAGGGAAGCATTATGGCATGGGCAGGTATAATGCACGGAGCTCGAACTCCTCTTGATTTTATTGATGGCACAATGACAGGTGCCTCATATCTTAGAGACGTGTTAGAGCCTATTGTGCGTCCATTTCGAGGGGCAGTCGGGGATGAATTTGCTTACATGGACGATAATGCTCTTCCCCATCGCATTTTAGCGGTTCGCGAATTTTGTGAGGAAGAGGGTATAAGAAAACTGTGGTGCCCACCGATATCTCCAGGTATGAATGTGATCGAGCATGCTTGGGACATGCTAAAACGCCATATTGCCAAAAGGAATGATCCCCCGTACCTTAAATGAATTGAAAATTGCTGCGCGCGAAACATGGGAAGCCATTCCTCAACATCTTCTGGACAACTTAATTGAGAGCATGCCAAGTCGTCTCACAACTTGCATTGAGGCTCGAGGAGGCAATACAGACTATTAGTTGTGAGAAATAATTAAAATTGTTTTCAATATTTTCCGTTTAAAATGAAATTTGTTTTTGTTGATTTTCACTCATTATGAAATAAAATTATAATAGCAGCCTAGTTCCACTTAGATTTTTAATTTTATATTAGTTAGTCGTCTAGTAAGCCAATATGTCCAAGAATATCAAAAGAACCATATTAGGTCCAAAACAAAATAAAATTATCATTATATGCAATAATTTTGGCCATGTGGATACTAAAGTTTATAGTACTCAGTGATGAGATGTTTAGCTAGCTAGTTAAAATTATATATAATAGCTCTAAAAGTCTAAAAGGATGATGGCTTGATTGGTTATCTTTCTCCATTTGTTTCTGTCTTTCGCCTTAATTCTCCACCCATCCACTCTTACCCTTCTCAAGTTCTCTTCTACATCCCTTTTCCATCTGATTCTCGGTTTACCCCTCCTTCCCTTTCCACCTATTTCACGGTTCATTATCATACTAGGAATTCTTGCTTCAGCCATTCTGTCAATGTGTCCCAGCCATCTCAGTCTTTGTGCTCTTGCTACTCCCGTTATACTCGGTGACCGATAAAGTTGCTTTAATTCTCCATTTGTTCTTCTGGTCCATATGTTGTCTATCTTCTTTCCTCCAAAAATCTTCCTCAGTATTTTTCTTTCCCAAATCTATAGTCTCGAACTTTCCGTTGCATTGAACGTCCACGTTTCCCATGCATATAGCACTATTGGTCGTATCCAAAGACATTATTAAGATAGACCGAACATCTCATTCATAAATACTCGTTGGATTGTTCTAATGGCCAGTGGCGTATCGTTTTTTGGAAGGAATTTAATTAGTAAAGTAAAAGTAAAGTAATTAGTAAAATTTTTACTCCATATTAATATACTACATTAACACTTTTTCGTCAGATGAGTTTTGTTATAAGGTCTAATATAATAATATAATTAATATCCCATATATACTTATGTTGAAACGTTAGTAGGTAGTTTTCGAAAATCGCTCCAACGTCGATTTTCAATTTAAACTTTCAGTTACTTCTATATAAACTTTCAGTTACTTTTGAATATTTACAGGGTGACTCAAGTTTCTGAAACAGTTCTATATTAGGTTTGTGGTTGGTGACTTTTCTTTCAATTCTTTTCAGAATATGGAGGCAATGGTAAAGCACATTTTAGACATTTTTGTAAACATAGGTGGCCCGAAACATATTTTCAAACTAAAGTTGTAGATTTGCCATTAAATTTCCATTCCAGAAATACCTAGGGTTGCCACCTGTCCTTTTTTGAAAAGGACAGTCCTTTCGACTTTTTTTGACTTAAAAAGTAATTTTTATATACGTATTTTGCCTGAGAAAATTACCTACAGCAAACAGAAATATTTTTCTTACTTTTCGTCCAAATTTAATTAGAGATGTTATAAAACTTATAAATAATTTATTCTTGTTTAGAATAGGCAACATTATTTAGAACTTCCCGTTTAATCTCAAATGATAGTTTAGGTTTTAGTTTTACCTTTATTGATCTTAAAAAGAACTTTTCAAAATTAGTAATTAGTAACGATTTAGTTAGTTCGCAATCGATAGCTTCCTGTGAAGTACTGTGTAATAGTTGTTTAATCTTGTATTATTAATAACTTCCTATACCTAAAATGAATATTTAATGAGAAAATTGTGTTTTTTTGAAAATATAAGACAAGATTTGACTTTCGGTCTTCTTCTTGTAGTACGATGGCTCTGATACGAGGCAATTATCTTTTAGTCTCTCAATAGAAGGCATTTATCATTAAAAGTATCAAATCTGTGTGCTACAGTATGGGATTTCTGTCGCATAATATTGAATATTACGTTTATTTACAAACCCATTACTTTTAAAGGTAGCTTCATCAGACAATCAAATTTTAGTTAAATGTCTGAATCTTCATGAACTGTATTATGTATTGCGGTTTGAATCACCCTGTATGTTGATAAAAATATTTTGAAAATGTGCGTTACAATGGCCCCCATCTTATGTAAAAAATTCAAATAAAAATCACAAACCAAAAAGGTAATAGGTAAAAAGCTTTTTTGGAGGCCTGGGTCACTCTGTATATAGGTCCCATTCTAAAAAAAGGTAAACACACCGTACAAATAACTCTAGGAAGAGGTATTTTTACGGTGGTAAAAAATTGTCTAAACAAGGCCGAAGGGGCAGATAAAGCAGTAAAATGTAAAAAAGGGCGGGTAAACACCTTTGTTTATTTGTTGAGCAAAATTCCCTTAGAATATCGTATATAATGACCAAAATATGACGCAATTTTAAGAAAAAAAAATGTCAATTTCTGGCTTAAAATAAAGTTTCAAATGAAACGTTTATATTCAAATTTGTTATGATCTACAACAGTTAGGTAGTAATTGAGATGAATTATAATTCAATTACCGGCTACTACGTTCTTGTTTTCATAGATCAAAATTCAACAAATATAATTAGAAATTATTTTAATTGTAAGGGGCTCCCTTGTGGGACGCCTATGTACAATTACGGCAGAAATTTGTACCTACCTGGAAAAGACAAATTCGGGTAATTTGAGCTTATTTTTCCACACACTTGACACTGTCGTACCATATTGAAAATTCCCAGATTCAAAAGTACGTTAAACAAAAGCAAAAACTACTGAAAACACTGAAAAGTTCACTTCAGACTTGATTCCGACTTCAAACACACCGTAAGCTAAACTTAGTACGCTATAACGGACCAAGGGCCGTCGCGAGGGGTGGTGGGACGGACGGCTCATTTTCATTCTGGAAGACTAGCAGCGACGTTGCCAATAGTTCTAGACGTTTCAGCACATTAGACAGTAAACATGTCCTTTAATAGTAACGCATATATCCTCTGGTTAATCACGCATGCTTCTTTAAAAATAAACTATTAATTTAATTAAGAAATTGAGATTTATTGATATCCGGTGAAGGTTTTAAAGTCACCTTTTCTGCAAATCAAACTAAGTAGATAGGCGCAAATTTGAAATGTGTGCCTTCTCTATCTCAGTTGGTTTTTACGGTACGTAGTCAACCTCCCATTGTTTGATCGGGTTAAAATGCACAATGTGATATCTGTTCTTCCTAAATCTATGGTCGTATCATTGTTTGGTATATTCAAGGTGTATTCTGATTTTTAAACTTCTAGAGATGTTCTTACTCTTAATAATTTTCTGTAATGCCCTAACACATCTATTTTCTGCCATTATTCTTGCCATAATTTCTTGAGTTACATTTGGAATCCTTAGAAATACGGCTCCTAGATATGTGGATGTATCTACTTCCTCAAACTTTATCGTTCCCTCTCTCAGAATTTATTTGTAGACATTTTCCCTTCTCAAAATCCCTATTTGACCACTCCACAAATTTCGTTTTCTTCCCATTAAACACTAAGCCTACTTTTTGCGATTGATTTTCTAGTCTTTTGGTCACCGATATCAGCTCTTTCCGATCCCTTCCTAAGTTAACTAAATGATCGGCAAAGGCTAGTTAAAATTACTCTTAAAAAAAAACTTAACACATTTATTTATAGTAACATTAGTTCCCTATTTTTTGATTCATCAACCAAACTAGAATATTGAATGACGATAACAGTATAAACATGGACTATGCTATTAAAAATTAAATTAATAATAATTATTCTTCGATATTAATCAATTTTATTTATATTTCTTTAGACTTTTGGGACCTTTACCTAACACCTATGCTTTCACCAAACAAATTGCTGAGCATGTAGTCGGACAAGAGGCTTTAGGTATACCTGCCTGTGTATATCGACCATCTATAGGTAATTATACATTAAAAAATTAAATTCCATTATTTTTATGTGACATATTAAAATGTACGAAATAATTACAAAATGTTGAATAACAAAAATTTAGAAAAGTAGCTATACAAGTTCAGTTTCTTCTTAAAGTTTGGACTGCGTAGAAAAAAACTGTATGTACATGGTTTCCTTTAGTTACAGTTCTTCAAATATAAGATATTTTTTCCAGAGTAATATATCCTTATAAAAACTTTTCACAATGTATAATATCTAAAGTAGTCTTTGATATTGACTGGCTTGAAATGATTTTGTAGTGATTGCTTCAGTAAAGGAACCTATACGATCATGGATAGATAATATATATGGCCCAGTAGGTCTGATCCAAGGTGCTGTAATCGGATTACTACATATAATGATCGGTAATCCAGAAGGCAGGGCAGATTTAGTCCCAGTAGATTACGTTATCAACAGTTGTATAGCTTCATCATATAAAACAGCCCAGGACAGGTAACATTTTTTTATTTTTTTTTGTAAGTTTTCAAGGCTCTTAGAAAGATAGTAAACAAAGGTGTAAAATTATAAAAATGTCAGTGTTTGTTGGAAATTTTATGTAGATTTAGACTGGATTGTTCGAACATTTGTTTTCGAACGATTTTTCATGGTAGCTAATAATATTACCTACAAGTCATACAGAACTGGTAAGGTCAAAATAGCATATGTTTTCGTATTCTACGCCTTTTAATTAGTAAATAACAGTAGTTTTATCAAAATCAGTGACCTGACCAAAATCGACAAATTTTATGTAATGGAAAAAAGTCGAAAAATGTATAATTTTTAGCTAAGTTTTCAAGGCTCTTAGAAAAATAGTAAACATGGTTGTAAAATTATGAAAATTCCAGTATTTGTAGGAAATTTTATGTAGATTTAGAATATATAAGTACTTAATAGCTGAAGTGTTCTGTAAATAATAGTATCTCTATTTTTTTTAGGTCCTTATCTGACATACCAGTGTTCAATTATACTACATCCGACACAAATGCTCTATTATGGAAACATCTGGTACTGTGTACTTACCAAGGATGGAAAGTAGGCTCGGAAAAACTCTTGTGGAAATACTTTTTCAGGTTTACCAATAACAAGTACATATTTCGGACACTGCATTTCCTGTTAGAGATCATACCAGCACATATAATTGATTTCACGGCTGTCAGAGCGGGCAAAAAAGCAATGTAAGTAGTGTTAAGTATCATAATTTTAGTGTTTTAGTATTGTTCTTATACAGGGTGAATTTGAAATCGAATTTCTCGTGTCAAAAAATACCCGGGCACCAATTTTCATCTAAATATTGACTACTATAGTTCAGAAATTATTTGGAAAAAACCGAAATAAAAAATGAAACTTCGAGACCCTGTATATCCAAAAAGAAGCATTTTTTACTTATTTTTACTTACTTTACACCCTGTATATTGTAAAAAATGTCTATACCTATTGTGGCGGATTCATCTCTCCAAAAAAATCCTTTATGGGTATTTCGCCACTGCACTGCAAGAAAATCTACAAAATAAAATAGTTATTTTTTGTTAACACTTCTGCGTTAAACCTAAACGGACACTGCTTGTCAGATGGTAATTGTCAATTTTGAAGTTTAACTTGATATAATGTCATTTTAACAGAACGTCAACGGTTTCTTGCAGACGTACCTGTTAAATAAGTAAAGTGTTCTCGAATAGTTGAATTTAAATAGTTTTTTTCTTTATTCTTTGTATTTTCTTTTGCTTCCGACGACGCGACGGAAAGAGATAAACTTTCCGAAACGTTAAGTATTTTTTTCTTTGTTAGGCAAATTTGTATAACTGTAAACATAACTTCTGACAAGCAGTGTCCGTTTCGGTTTAACGCAGAAGTGTTTACAAAAAATAACTATTTTATTTTGTACATTTTCTTGCAGTGCAGTGGCGAAGTACTCATAAAGGATTTTTTTGGAATAAAATCTGTATATGGAATACCATGTATACAGGGTTGTTCACCACATACGACACGGAGTATTGTAGCTAAACGATTAGATTTTTACAAATTGTAAGTTTTGGGTTCGTTGAAGGACTATTAGAGCTACAATTTAAAAATATTTTTACTTTAGATACAAGAGTGTCCCAAATAAATAAAAAATATCAAAGTTGTATTTTTTAAATGGGACACCCTGTATATTATTGCATTTTACTTTCTGATTAAAATAAAGGTAAATTTGATTAAGGTTTATTACACTTAAACCTTACGGTTTTTGAAATATTTTCATATTTGTATAATTGCAGTATAAATTTTAGGTTTCATTTCTCCGAGGGTATCAAAGTTTTTTAATACTAAATATTTACTGAAGTTTATTTATTGATCAGTTATTGTGTTGCAATAATAAAAATTATATTACCTTTTATACAGGTCTAAAAATTTATTTTAAATAATTACTAATTTTAAACGGCAATAACTTGTTTAATTTAAATGGAATACCCTGTATATTTTATGAGAATCAGATGCACAATTTAATTGTCTATCAAATTGTGTTATACCACTTTTTACCTATCCCTTCAAGTTTTCGTAGAAAATGCATTTACTTATAATTTAGACCTCATTTATCAATATGCCCATGAAATATTGACATTTCAGATCGTTTTTAAAACAACAAATGTACCAAATGTACAATCTAGTAATATTATCGTTTTTAGTAAAACGATGATATTACAAGCCCATTTGTATGCAAAAAGAAAACTATTTAAATCTTTATAAAAGAGTATACCATTAATTAAATATACCACCAGTATTTCCGCCCAAATACTAATTAATTACATACTTAATTGTGTTCGTTAATAAATTATTCTAAATAAATGTGGATTTGAATCAGAAATCAATGTAATAATAAGTTATGTAAATGAACGTCTCTGTTGTTATAAATAAGCATTTGTCAAAAAATGAAATATCATTAGATGTTAGTTTTTTTTACCACACTGTCTAATACAAATAAATAATTCAGTTTTTTAGTATTTGGAGGAATTATTATTAATTAACGCAAACAGACAATTAATTTAGTTTGAATACTGGAATCATATTAACTGATCCTCTATAACAAATATTTAAACAGTTTTTTTTTATTTTTTAAGTAACAAAGTTTTATACAAACAAACGAACTATATTAATAGTGTTAGTATCTGTACTCTTTAAAAATTTGGTACATCTTTAAAAATAATCTAAAATGTCAGTATTCCATGGGTATATTGATAAATGAGTTCTAAATTACAAGAAAATGCATTTTCTACGAAAGCTTAAAGAGATAGGTAAAAAATGGCATAATACAATTTGATAGACAATTAAATTGTGCATCTGATTCTCATAAAATATACAGGGTGTTCCATTTAAATTAAACAAGTTATTTCCGTTTAAAGCTAATAATTATTTAAAATAAATATTTAGACACTCTGTATAAGGTAGTAAAATTTTTATAATTGCAACACAATAACTGATCAATAAATAAACTTCAGCAAATATTTAGTATTAAAAACTTTGATACCCTCGGAGAAATGAAGCCTTAAAATTTATACTGCAATTTCACAAAATTGAAAATATTTCAAAAACGATAAGGTTTAGGTGTAATAAACCTTAATCAAATTTACCTTTATTTTAATCGTAGAAACTAAAAATGTAATAATATACTGGGTGTTCCGTTTAAAAAAATACAACTTTGATATTTTTTATTTATTTGGGACACTCTGTAACTTGTAAAAATATTTTTAAATTGTAGCTCTAATAGTCCTTCAACGAACCCAAAACTTACAATTTGTAAAAATCTAATCGTTTAGCTACAATATTCCGTGTCGTTTGTGGTGAACAACCCTGTATATTTTTCATTGAAAATAAATGAAATCTTTGAATCTTTTATAGGCTAGTGAAAATTCACGAGAAAATTGGGAAATTTGTAGATGTACTGAGTTACTTCACTCTAGGAGAATGGGATTTTGACAGAACCAACACCGTGAATCTGTGGAATTCATTAAATGAGACTGATAAAAAGAATTTTGCCTTCGATATGGACAGTCTGGACTGGGTACACTATTTTGATACATATTTAATCACTTTAAGAGAGTTTCTCTTGTTAGAATACTTAGACAATCATGAGGCAGGAGCTGCAGTTATTAGAAGGTAAATTTATTTTGTAGATTGTATGTGTTTTTTTATTTATTATAAGTATTATAATTATTTGTTATAATTAAGCGTGGAAGTCACTTCGAGAATTTTGGCATTTGGTCGCTACATTAAATTAAAAATTAAGAATGAGGTAAAAAATGTCTATACCTATGTAGCGGATTCATCTCTCCATGAACACTTCTCCGTTAAACCTAAACGGACACTGCTTGAAAGCAGTTAGGTTTACAGATAACGTGCTGGCAACTGTTACTTTTGGGTCGGCATTTACATGTGTGGAAGTAAATCACATAGGGATCTTATTCAGTCGGAGTGAGAGAAATGCGACCGACCGACCGACGCGACGCGCGACTGTGTGCTGTTGCGGCGTTGTCGATACGCCTTTCCCTATATAAATAAAATCGCGATCGCAAACCGCTTATTTTTAAAAGACTTTTTTTTCAAGAGATAACTAGATAAAATCATTAGACATGTTTCTGAGCATCTGAAATGGAATTATAAGGATATCGTGAGGGTGTCATTTTTTTTATAACGAGAAAACGTCAGAAATCGCGATAATTTAAAAATTCAACTTTTTAACACATAACATATAACTCAAGAACCACTTTAGATATTGAAACTTTTTTTTATTTTCAAGGTCGGATATTTTACAATATGTTTACATAAGAAAAATTGGATAAGGTTGTTTTTTCCATTCAAAAATTGTAAACGATCCATCCATTTACTTTTAGAGCATAGCAATTTTCAGCAATCGTGTAATTTTTTTATTGATAAAGATTTTCACATACTGTCTACAAAGAAAATACAGCCAGAAATATTAACAAAGTTCTTGAAAAAACTACAATCTATTATTTCTAATAGATTTCGAGATATCAATTTTTGAATTCAGAGTTCTAATAGCGCGACCACTATCGAACACCCACTCAATTCCACTTATTTTTACCAAAAATGCAAGTGTTTCTAGCTTGCGCTTAAAAAAAAATCAAGTTATAGGGAAAATTACAATGACTCGTTAATAAATAAACAAATTGTCCCATTGCTGCCAAAAGTCACTAACTTACTTTTTATTACTTCCGAGAAAAATGCGTCTAAGCCCACGGCCACACAGAAAGCGTTTTTAGCGTTTTGCGTTTTTTGCGTCTCAAGCGCTTTTTGTGATTTTACCGTTTTAAGCGCTTTTTTCGATTTGTGACCATTAAAAACACGCAAAAGACGCGGTAGGTCTGCAGTTTCTATCAAGTTGTCAATTAGTAACGTCGCAAGCTCGTGGATTCCCGGCCCGTCCAACAATCAATCCTGTGAGAAAGAGATAGGCGAGATCGGCGCCGTTAGCGTTGAAGAGACGAAGATAAAAGATGATGGGATTGAATTGTGGACGAACCGGGGCATATATTCGGAGACAAACACAATCTACTGCTAGTGCCAGTGGTGTGTGTAAAAATAATAATTATTATTTGCCATTTATTTTACGAATTTTAGTTTATATGTGTATAGTTTTTTTATGTTGTAGTGTTGTGCGTGTTTAGTACTTATAATAAATAATTATAATTATATAATAGAATAGTAAATATGTCTAGTTGCTAATGCAATTTTAGGACCTGATTTATGAATCATTTTGGAGTGAAACTTATTTACGCGCGCTGGGAGTAAAAATTCAAGACCGTGACACACGAGCTCGTTGTAACGAAACGTGTTAACGGCTTAGAAATACGTAGTGACGCGTCGTGTATTTGTGAGCAGTCCACGTGTTTATCAAAAAAATTGATAAATTATTACGCGTAAAAATACATTTGTTACACGTAAAAATCTATTTTTATTATTTTACGCGAATAAAACTGTTACACGTAAAAAATTAATATTTACGCGTATAAAACTATTTGTTGTTGGAAGAAAACTATATTTTACGCGTATGAAACTATTTGTTACTGGTAGAAAACTATTTCTTATGCGTATAAAACTATTTGTTACGTGTAAAAATCTATTTATTACACGTAAAAAACTTTCTTTTTACGCGTCAAAAACTTATTGTTTCTGGTAGAAAACCTTTCTTATGCAAAAAAAATTACGTGTAAAAAACTATTTGTTACACGTAAAAGACTAATTTTAACGCGTCAAAAACTTCCACAAACACAGTCCACGTGTTTATCAAAAAAATTGATATTTTAATAAAAATTTTGTAAAAGTGAATCAAATTATTACGCGTAAAAATACATTTGTTACACGTAAAAATCTATTTTTATTATTTTACGCGAATAAAACTGTTACACGTAAAAAACTATTATTTACGCGTATAAAACTATTTGTTGTTGGTAGAAAACTATATTTTACGCGTATAAAACTATTTGTTACTAGAAAACTATTTCTTACGCTTATAAAACTATTTGTTACGTGTAAAAATCTATTTATTACACGTAAAAAACTTTCTTTTTCCGCGTCAAAAACTTATTGTTTCTGGTAGAAAACCTTTCTTACGCAAAAAAAATTGCGTGGAAAGAACTATTTGTTACACGTAAAAAACTAATTTTAACGCGTCAAAAACTTATTGTTTCCGGTATAAAAACTTTTTTACTCAAAAAAAAAGTTTACGTGTAAAAAACTATTTGTGAAACGTAAAAAATTATTTTTTTACGCGTCAAAAACTTTGTTGTTTCTGGTAAAAAACCTTTTGTTACTCAAAAAAAATATTTTTCACGTGTAAAAAACTATTTCTTACACGTAAAAAACTATTTTTTTCCCGTCAAAAACTGATTGTTTCTAGTAAAAAACTCTTTTACCCAAAAAAAATATTTTACGTGTAAAAAACTATTTTTTTCTCTTAAAAAAACTATTTTTTACGAGTAAGAAAATATTCCTATAATTTATTACTTTTTCAACATTTCAAACCACACTTTTTCAAATATTTCCTTCAAATTTCCTGAACAGTAGATGTTCTTTATAAAAATATTTTTAGATAATACCCTAAAATGAAAAAAATATGCATACTATTTAATTTATTTTTACTGTATTATTAAATATAACGTCCGCTTATGACTGGGTCTCATCTTAGAAAACGCTAAAGACGCTACAGAAAACAAACTGATTTGTTTTCATTTGCGTTTTTTGCGAGACACGCCGAACGCTACACGCTTTTGGTGTGGCCACTCCTATATAATCCTGTTATTTTGTTTTAGTCGCTAAAGACGCTTCACGCTAAAAACGCAAAAAACGCTTTCTGTGTGGCCGTGCACTTTGATTTGTGAAAATCTCCCTTGCTTAAATAATCTTTATGTTCTTTAATTCGAACATTTAAAGGTCTAGATGTTTCACCAATGTAAAATTTATCGCATTCACATGGTATTTTGTATACTTCTTACATTTTTTGTTTGTTGTTCTGTATTCATTGGTTTAGTATGTGATAAAATGGACCTAAGTGTATTTTGTGTTTTGAAAGATGTTCGTATGTTATATTGTTTGCCTATCCTTCTTATTTTTTCCGAAACGCTTCGTATGTATGGAATTGTAAGTTGTATACAGGCCCGGCAATGGATCTCTAGGCATAGGAATTACATGCATTGGAATGAAACGCCTATAAAAAGTCTATGCTTAAACAGAGATGGACAACAACTTCCCCGTTTCCACTTCCACTACGACTGTCTACTTAGACAAACTCCAATAAGATAACAAATTTTGGAAATTCCGCCACCTCCCATCCACTCATGATACCCATCTCCCTGCCCTTTATTTATCGCCATTATTTTATTTCCCTTCCCGCGCCTCCGCACCTCGCTATTCTGACTCCCGTCAGTTCATCACAGAGTTGCCAGGTCTACCGGTTTCGTCTGTAAGCTACCGATCTACCGATTTAAAGAAAAATCTAACGATATATTCAACTGCGTCTTTAGTTTTTACAATAGAAGCACTTATAAAAAGCTGACTTATTTGACTAAAAATTAAGCGACTGCCGTGTTGGAATCTGTATAATTTGACTTTATTATTGTTTCATTAAATTTTATTTAGTAATAACACACATACAGGTCATCGTTCTGTCTAGTTGCAGAGTTACAGAGATATTCCTAAAAATCCTTATTACTCCTTATTACTCCTTATTAGGCGCGGTATTGGCGACATGCCCGAAGAAGTTGATATCTTTTGAAAAGATTTTATTTCATTCATCTACTAAAGTTGAACCCATATTTTCCCCAAAAAATGTAAACAAAAAACTAAATTTAAGTTAAGAAACAACCTAAATTCGGACAAATATTTTAGTGGTTTTCCGTCAAAAAAAATATTAATATGAAAAAAGAGTTGAGAGTTGCTACAGCTTTCCCATTGAAATGAAATTAATTTTAGATATCACTGATCAAAATTTGTACAAAGGTAAAAAGTGACTGCTACACTAATTTGTGACTGCTATCCCTACTTGTTCTGGCTTTATGTTTTTATTAATATATTAATATTATTAAATTCAATATTTTTTTTAATATAAAATAACATACCTAGCTATTTCTAATTCTTGTTATATTTATTATATTTGTATTTTATTTGAGTGATCTATTATTACGACACATAGGAATGCTAATTTTGGACTTAAATATTATATTTTATTTCGTTTCTGTACTTTTAATTTTTGTTGAAGATCTACCGAGAATTTTGTTCTCGTATGGAATTATAATCTAACCAACCCGGCAACCCTGTTCGGCTACTCCTTATAAAGTTTTTTTCGGCCTAATTCCTTTGTCACAGCCGCGGCTTTGTCAAGCGCCGCCGCCGACCGACTGTGTCGGGGCGACTGCTAGGAAGATCGTACAGTATTGCCATTTCATAGAATTGCACTTGCTATTTTAGAAATGATTTCAAAGTTTTGCATGTTACTTTTCGTTTTAGAAAGAAGTTATGTGCCTAGAGAAAACATTCTTAAAATTGTTTCGTACTTTATTTAATATTTCATTAAGTAGGCAAGATAATGGGATTAGAAGATTTAGGATTTTGACAAGCCAACATAATTTCGATTTAATTGAATGGCAACACTGTCCGTCCTGTTTCTATTTTTTCGATTCTGTTCTATTAGTAGGCGGTAGCCCCCACACAAGCGTCTTAAAGACCCGCCCGGCGCCCCCTCTCGCAGGGGCTCTCTCGTCGTATCACTTCTATGATCACTTCCCCTATACGATGGTAGGGAAAAGACACTTTATCCGTCTCTGTTGCACTGCAGTGTATTTTGCAGCCTTACCATCTTTTTTTATCGCGTTGATAACCTCCTATTGCTAATATTCCTTTGCCAGCAGTGTATATTGTGTATTGTCATCATTGTGTCTATGATTTGGGGTTTGCATTTCGTTTAATGTTTTGTCAATAAAATATAGTGGATAGTCGTTTTTTATTAATGTATTTTTTATGTGGTTTATATCTCTGTTTAGTGAAATGTCGTCTGAACATATTATTTTTGCCCTATCATATAAACTTTTTATAACAAAAATGAGACGTTTTTTTAGGGCAACGGCCCAGCTACGTCGAACACCGGTTCCCATTAGAACACCGAAGTTAAGCGACGTAAGGCGATGCTAGTTGATGGACGGGTAACCGGTTCGAAACTTTGCATCGTGCTGTTGTCCAAGGGAAAAGTGTAAAATCTATTGATACACACTGCTCATTCACGCCGATTCGAGGCCGGATGAGATCGGATATCTCGTGACTAAGAGTTAATTTAGACACTTCCTAAGTCGGTAGGCCATTGACCATGATATGGCCGAGGACCGCGGTTCGGATTCCGCGTAAACAAAGTAGGTCCCGTCCAGTTTAGCCATTGCAGCAGAAAGGCGACGTTAACTTGAACCTCACACGTTTTTTTTAAATGACCAGTGAGGCCTCTACGGATAGAGCTAGTGGAGCTCTATATTCGCCCTATTTAAACAGTACTTCAAAAAATATATAGTTTCCGAGATATTTAATTTTAATGATTTCGATTGTGGATTTTCTGGATCCCTTTGAAAAAAATAGAATTTTTATTTATTAACTTTTTCCACTTTTCTCACCTGGTACGAATTCTAAATGAAAGAATTCTAAATGCAATTTAACCACATTGACAGATTGAATTTGTTTGTGTAATAATTATGGATGTTTTCTTTGTTTCAGGAATGCAACGCTTCATTACGCTACTGTAGTAATTCTTAACGTACTTTCTGTATACTTTTTGTTGAATACCATTTTCTTTTTCGTTCCTGTTGGTATCATTTCAATTACTATCTATTACTTGTATGACCACTACATGTCTGTGGACAGATATATAAGAAGCAAAGGCCGCAAATAACAAAATTATAGCACAGTTTAAAGAATATAGACTTTAAGATTTTTATATCATCATTTTTTTATTACATTTTTACAAAAAATAGCCCCATAATCATTTTTTTTTTAATTATTACAAATTATTATCAATTTGAAGTTGCTTAATAAAACAAAAGTATGTTGATTTTAAAGTGATGTTTATTTCTGTAACCTAAACATTTTTTTTCAAACTTCACAAAAGTATTATTTTTTTGGGACGTGATTGACAATATAAAAAAGTCATTTGGGTCAACTTTCGTTTAGCTGAAATCAGTTATTAGAAAAAAAATAAATTTTTGTCTTTAAAAAGCTACTGTGAACCACGGAAAACACAAATTTCCAGCGAAAATGCGTAATTTCCAAATTTCGCACTTTAGAATAACTTAAACTGAAATCTGGGCTATAAAAAAATACATTTTGCGTCTTATTTTTAATATTTTTCTGAACATATAAACACAAAAAGAAGAAAGGTAGAGAAGAAAGAGAGAAAGAAAAGATTAGAAAATGAAAAGAGCTTATTTCCGCAGGAAATTTATTAGACTTTAGAATAGCTGAAATCAGTTATATAAAAAATAAATATATTTTTGCGTTTTAGAAGCATTCACGAATTGAGGAAAATAAAAATTTTCCTGCGGAAATAAACTGTATCCGTTTTTTGAGGAAATTTAATAGACTTTAGAATAGCTGAAATCAGTTTGATATAAAAAATAAATATATTTTTGCTTTTTAGAAACGTTTACAAACTCAGGAAAATTTCCTGCGGAAATGCTTGATTTTAATTTTCCATTTGTTCCTTATTATATTATCGGGTTTTGTAAAGTACCCACGAATTTAGCAAAAAAAAATTTTTTGGTAGAAACTCCTATGCTCATAGAACAGTTTAAAAGAAAAAAATCCTTGGATGAAGCACTTTTGAACCAAAAAAAAAAAATCATTTAAATGTGTCTAAAATTACCTAACCAATCTAATAATATTTTTTTTCAAAATCACAGTTAATTATTAAAATATAAAAACCACAGCTTAACACCCTCCACAAAGAAAAGCTAACCAAGCGACCCAAATGCTAACCAATCTAATATTTTTGCAAAATCACAGTTAATTATTAAAATATAAAAGAAAACTGCATGATCCAATGATTTTTTGTTTAGAATCAGCCCTATTTACGTAAAGCTTTTGTTATGATTTTTATGAGTATCTTGTTTATATAATGTATTGTTATGATTAACAAATTATGGTTTATGTATTATGTTAGATTGTATTATTCATAATGCATGGTTTTTATGACAGAGGCGATAGAATGTTACGGGAGATAAGATTGGGAGTGAGGCGTCCGCAGCAGTCAGTCAGTACCGTGCGCTCGCACGATGTACATGTTTGTGTCGTAATCTTAAGTACTAAAATGTAATAAAGAAGTTATGAGGGAAATTCAGTGTTTTATTTGAAAATACAAGATCTATTGTTACACTTTAATAAAAAACAAGAATAAGTGCAACATTCCTAAGTACTTATAATTTACAAGAACCTATATTATCTATTCTACAAGAATTGTAATTCCTCAGAAAGATGTTTACCCCACCCAAACCACCCCTATTCGCTCCCGGGTCCCGTAAGCTTCTAAACTGAAAAATGTATGAAAAACAAAGTGCACGAAATGACATTGACACATTTCCGCAGGAATTTTTTTGTATTTCTTTGCTCGTAAAGGCTCGTATCAAAAAAATATAAGTTTATTTTTCATGTAACTCATTTCGGCTATTCTAAAGTTAAAGCATTTTTTTATGTAAAATAAAAATAAAAATTTTCGCAGACACTTTTTTGTGTTTTTATGTTTAGAAAAATGTCTAAAACACACCCCGAAGACTAGTTTTGATGTAACAGATTTCGGCTATACTAAAGTCCGAAAAATGAAAATGACGCGTTTCCGCAGGAAAATTTTGGTATATTTGTACTCCTAACGCCTCACGGTGGGGTATTAGCATGAAAAAGGTGATCGAAATGCGAAAAAGCAAATATGTTTAAAATTTCCCAAAAAAAGATAAATGATAAGTTAAATCATGTCTGCCATGAATGGCGTGGCTATGGGTGTGTTTAGTTGCATTCATTTGTTTCAACGAAACGTCAAAGTTGTTACTTCTCACAGATAAGAGGTAAATGGCTAAATTTGATGTTTAAAATTATAAATTGTTGTTATTCTTGTGCTCTTTTTACGTTTACGTTATTGTTTTGATTGAAAATGGCTCAGCAAGCTGCAGGTATGTATTCTACAAAGACGTATTATTTACTGATATTCTCTAAGTACTAACGATTTTTTTGCAACTAAAAGTTAGGCGTTCAGAAATTTGGATTAAAATTGCAGGACATTTTTATTATAATTTAGAGATTTAGTTGCGCATTTCTAAGAATCTACGGCTTCATTCATACGCTCACTAAAAACATTTCAGCTTAAGTACAGTAAAAATAAAATACTCGCGGACTCAGATTTTGTTGATAAAATGAGAAAAAGATTCTTGGTTTCCTCTAACTTGCAAATCAGTGATATACCAATGCGATATGTAAACCGCGATGGCATTGTTGTTTACAAAGCGATTGCATTAGTGCCATTAGCAGCATATAGTACAATTGCAATAGCTTAATTTTAGTGGTGGCGTGCATTTGCTCAGGATCAGTCGCATTGCAGTAGTAGTTGGGTGATATTACTACTGGTATTCACCGTGGAAACACTGGAACAGTGATTCTTTTCTTTTTTGAATCGACGAATTATCCTTTATTTTGTTCATTATTTCCCTTTAATTGAAAATAGATCTACATAAAAAAAATTTCGATCAACTATCAGTGTCAAACACCCCTAATTAAAATGCCTTCTAGAACGCATATATAAAGTCATTTTTGATATAACAGATTTCCAGCCAAACGAAAGTTGAGACAGCCTAGCTCTTAACGCTTGCATGCAAAGCTTTTAAATCTAAATAAAAAAAACGAAAAAAAAAAATTAAATAAAGAAATCAAAAGTAAAAAAAAAAAAATTTATTAATAATTTATCAAGTAAATTACAATGCGTTCGTATATGTAAATTCGTAGTATCCAAAGAATATAGTAAGGCCTATTAAGCCTAGTGGTATGAAGAAAAATATAGTGTTGATGCAGAAATATAATGATGCTCCAATTAGTGTTGATAACAGGCAGTTATGGATCCATCTTATTCTGAAATTAAAAAAATAATTATTAAAGGTTTTACCAATTAAAAACACGTTTCAAAATTGTGTTTCAAAAGACTCCGCCGCACTGTGAGGCGCGTCTTAGCGCGGCGCTCCACGCGCCTGGAGCGTGGATCGACGCTCCACACGCCGTGTAATGGCATCTTAAAATAAACGTATTAATTTAATTTTTTGAACAGAAACTGAAACTAATCAAGATACTGGGGTTTTCTTCACAAGTGTGCGTCAAACTTCTAATTACGCAACTTTTGTCCCATTTAATCGAATTCGCATCTGTCGTAGTCGCTTCTGAGATGCCAATGTTGAGCATCGAAATTGTCAATACCACCCTGTATACAATTAGAAGTTAATGTAAGAATTCTAAATGCAATTTAACCACATTGACAGATTGAATTTGTTTGTGTAATAATTATGGATGTTTTCTTTGTTTCAGGAATGCAACGCTTCATTACGCTACTGTAGTAATTCTTAACGTACTTTCTGTATACTTTTTGTTGAATACCATTTTCTTTTTTGTTCCTGTTGGCATTATTTCAATTACTATCTATTACTTGTATGACCACTATATGTCTGTGGACAGATATATAAGAAGCAAAGCCCGCAAATAACAAAATTATAGCACAGTTTAAAGAATATAGATTTTAAGATTTTTATATCATCATTTTTTATTACATTTTACAAGGCTCATATACAAAAATATATTTAAAATCATTTTTTTTTAATTATTACAAATTATTATCAATTTGAAGTTGCTTTTACTAAAACAAAAGTATGTTGATTTTAAAGTGATGTTTATTTCTGTAACCTAAACATTTTTTTTTCAAACTTCACAAAAGTATTATTTTTGAACGTGATTGACAATATAAAAAAGTCATTTGGGTCAACTTTCGTTTAGTTGAAATCAGTTATTAGAAAAAAATAAATTTTTGTCTTTAAAGTTATTACTAGAACCACGGAAAACACAAATTTCCAGCGAAAATGCGTAATTTCCAAATTTCGCACTTTAGAATAACTTAAACTGAAATCTGCTATAAAAAAATACATTTTATGTCTTATTTTTAATATTTTCTTGAAATATAACACAAAAATTTCCTGGTGGAAATAAGCTGTTTTCATTTTCTAAGGAAATTTATTAGACTTTAGAATAGCTGAAATCAGTTATATAAAAAATAAATATATTTTTGCCTTTTAGAAGCATTCACGAATTGAGGAAAATAACAATTTTCCTGCGGAAATAAACTGTATCCGTTTTCTGAGGAAATTTAATAGACTTTAGAATAGCTGAAATCAGTTTTATATAAAAAATAAATATATTTTTGCCTTTTAGAAACGTTTACAAAATCAGGAAAATATCCTGCGGAAATGCTTGATTTTAATTTTCCATTTGTTCCTTATTATATTATCGGGTTTTGTAAAGTACCCACGAATTTAGCAAAAAAATTTTTTTGGTAGAAACTCCTATGCTTATACAACATTTTAAAAGAAAAAAATCCTTGGATGAAGCACTTTTGAACCAAAAAAAAAATCATTTAAATATGTCTAAAATGCTAACCAATCTAATAATATTTTTACAAAATCACAGTTAATTATTAAAATATAAAAACCACAGTTTAACAGCCTCCACAAAGAAAAGCTAACCAAGCAACCCAAATGCTAACCAATCTAATATTTTTGCAAAATCACAGTTAATTACTAAAATATAAAAGGAAAATTTTGGTATATTTGTACTCCTAACGCCTCACGGTGGGGTATTAGCATGAAAAAGGTGATCGAAATTCGAAAAAGCAAATATGTTTAAAATTTCCCAAAAAAAGATAAATGATAAGTTAAATCATCTCTGCCATGAATGGCGTTGCGGTGGGTGTGTTTAGTTGCATTCATTTGTTTCAACGAAACGTCAAAGTTGTTACTTCTCACAGATAAGAGTAAATGGCTAAATTTTATGTTTAAAATTATAAATTGTTGTTGTTCTTGTGCTCTTTTACGTTTATATTATTGTTTTGATTGAAAATGGCTCAGCAAGCTGCAGGTGTGTATTCTACAAAAACGTATTATTTATTTTGATATTCTCTATACTAACGATTTTTTGCAACTAAAAGTTAGGCGTTCAGAAAATTTGATTAAAATTGTGATATTTTTATTATACTTAGAGATTTAGTTGCGCATTTCGAAGAATTCAGCATATTGTCTATATACGTTTTACTTAGTAAACATTGGGCTTTCATACAGTAAAATAAAATACTGCGACTCTTTGCGATTTTGCTGATAAAATGAGAAAAACATTCTTGGTTTCCTCTAATTTGCAAATCAGTGATATACTAATGCGAGGGTAAACCTCGATAGCATTGTTGTTTACAAAGCGATTGCATTAGTGCCATTAGCAGTATAGCACAATTTAGCATTAGTAGCGACTTTAGTGGTATGGGCATTGCTCGCGGATCAGTCGTAGCATTAGTAGTAGTAGTTGCGATATTACTACTGGCACTGACCGTGGAAACACTGGAACAGTGATTTTTCTTTCTTTTTTTAGAATCGACGAATTATCCTTTATTTTGTTCATATTATTTCCTCTTTAATTGAAAATAGATCTACATAAAAAAATTTCGATCAACTATCAGTGTCAAATACCCCACTGTGGCGCCTTCTAGAACGCATATATAAAGTCATTTTTGATATAACAGATTTCAACTAAACGAAAGTTGAGCCAGTCATTTTAACGCCTAGGCATAAAAGTAAAGCTTTAAATCTAAATAAAAAAAAACGAAAAAAAAAAATTAAATAAAAAAATCAAAAGTAAGGAAAAAAGTTACCATTTATTAATAATTACTTATAAATTACAATGCGTTCGTATATGTAAATTCGTAGTATCCAAAGAATATAGTAAGGCATATTAAGCCTAGTGGTATGAAGAAAAATATAGTGTTGATGCAGAAATATAATGATACTCCAATTAGTGTTGATAACAGGCAGTTATGGATCCATCTTATTCTGAAATTAAAAAAATAATTATTAAGAAAAATAATAATTAAAAAACACGTTTCAAAATTGTGTTTCAAAAACACCGCCGCACTGTGAGGCGCGTCTTAGCGCGGCGCTCCACGCGCCTGGAGCGTGGATCGACGCTCCACACGCCGTGTAATGGCATCTTAAAATAAACGTATTAATTTCATTTTTTGAACAGAAATCCGAAACTAATCAAGATACTGGGGTTTTCTTCACAAGTGTGCGTCAAACTTCTAATTACGCAACTTTTGTCCCATTTAATCGAATTCGCATCTGTCGTAGTTTCTGAGATGCCAATGTTGAGCATCGAAATTGTCACCACCCTGTATACAATTAGAAGTTAATGTAAGAATTCTAAATGCAATTTAACCACATTGACAGATTGAATTTGTTTGTGTAATAATTATGGATGTTTTCTTTGTTTCAGGAATGCAACGCTTCATTACGCTACTGTAGTAATTCTTAACGTACTTTCTGTATACTTTTTGTTGAATACCATTTTCTTTTTTGTTCCTGTTGGCATTATTTCAATTACTATCTATTACTTGTATGACCACTATATGTCTGTGGACAGATATATAAGAAGCAAAGCCCGCAAATAACAAAATTATAGCACAGTTTAAAGAATATAGATTTTAAGATTTTTATATCATCATTTTTTTATTACATTTTTACAAAAAATAGCCCCATAATCATTTTTTTTTAATTATTACAAATTATTATCAATTTGAAGTTGCTTAATAAAACAAAAGTATGTTGATTTTAAAGTGATGTTTATTTCTGTAACCTAAACATTTTTTTTCAAACTTCACAAAAGTATTATTTTTTTGGGACGTGATTGACAATATAAAAAAGTCATTTGGGTCAACTTTCGTTCTTATGACCATCAAAAATCGTACATTTCTATTATTATTTATTAAAGTTTATTTTTATTAAGGCCGATTCTACTATGTAAAAATTCCTTCAAATAAAAAAGTTTCTCGCTTACCGAAAACCATGACACAATAAAGTTAATGTTTGAAGTTTAATCCGTTTTCCAAAAAAAAATACCCTTACTATGGAACTTTAATTATCAGTTATCACCGCCTATGTATTCCCAATCGATTAAAAAAAAAGAGTATGTGAATAAGTTGATTAGTTTAGGAGTTATGGTAAAAAAACATGGTTATACATTTTTGACATTTTCCGGGATAAAAAATTATTCATTCATTTCACATGCACAAAGATCTAACCGATCATTTCATAACGAGTTTATGTGGTTATACCTTAAAAAAATTTTTTCGAGAAGGAAGCGACTTTTCTCAGTGATTTTACTCCACTATATGGAAATACATAATTTTAGAGTTACAGGATGTTAAAATTATTAAACTATCATATATTTTCATAAATAAAAAATATTTGAATTTAATTTTTAAACAAATTTTAAATCTCTGGTAAATATTAGATTATATACATACATACATACATATACATACTGCCATTACTCGCTGACGAGTATCTGACGCGCATCAGAAGATGGTCACGCAAGGCGTTTTCTTTCATGAGCTTTTTGTTTAGATTATAACAGAATAAACAACCGACATTAAAACGCACAAAACTTGGTGTATTTATTTCACTTATTTTAAGAACGTTCTAACAATATAAACCAAATGACAATCAAACTTTGAAATAAACCTTTAGTTTAGCTGACAATTGAAAATCATGAAATTAAGGGACAACAAACGGCAACATTGTCGGGTATCACGAGACGACAACCATTCGTGCCATGAACTTTGGCACGACTGATATCGGAGATGGAAAATACCCTCTGTAAAACCGTCTCAGATACTGGCTTTTAGGACTGGCCTTTAATGTTGATGAAAAGAATACCTGTTATAATGCTTTCTTCCTGCGTCCAAGTTATCAAGATTCTCGTGGACTAGTAGTTCCCTCAATGCGACCAAGTACGTGCTGAAGTAGTCTTCCCAATCCAGAGTTTTCATATCGAATGGAAATATTGTTTTGTCTTTTTCGTTGAGGGATTCCCACAACGCCGTAGTATTGCCATAACTGAAGCGGAACTCGCCTAGTGAAAAAAAGCTCACTGACTGTAGGCCATTGTTTATTTTCTTGTAAATTCTTCCTAGTCTGTAAGAAAACGTAAGAAATTAATATTCCAATATTATTTAATTTAAACTGATGATAAGTTTGATTTTTATGTTTCCGTTATCCGACGATACGATATTAATTTTATTGCTTTAATTTAGACTTCGATTGGTTAGAAAATTACGCAGTTCTTAAATTTATTGCATTTTCATGCCTCCGTTTATTGGATATACCTACGATTTGCTGGTGATTGGTGTCATTTTATACAGGGTTGTTCACCACATACGACACGGAGTATTGTAGCTAAACGATTAGATTTTTACAAGTTGTAAGTTTTGGGTTCGTTGAAGGTCTATTAGAGCTACAATTTAAAAATAGTATAGTTGTATTTTTTTAAATGGAACACCCTGTATATTATTCTATTTTTGGATTCTACGATTGAAAAAAAGGTAAATTTGATTAAGGTTTATCACACATAAACCTTACCGTTTTTGAAATATTTTCAATTTTATGAATTTGCAGTACAAATTTTAAGGCTTTATTTCTCCCAGGGTATCAAAGTTTTTAATACTAAATATTTACTGAAGATTATTTATTGATCAGATGTTGTGTTGCAATAATAAAAATTTTACGACCTTATAGAGAGTGTCCAATAATTTATATTAAATAATTACTAGCTTTAAACGGCAATAACTTGTTTAATTTAAATGGAACACCCTATATATTTTACGTGAATCAGATGCACAATGTAATTGTCTATCAAATTGTATTATACCATTTTCACCCATCTCTTGAAGTTTTCGTAGAAAATGCATTTTCTTATAATTTAGACCTCATTTATCACTATACCCATGGAATATTGACATTTCAGATTTTTTTATAGCACCATAATATGTACAAAATGTACAGGTGGTAAATATTGCAAGCCCATTGGCATACAAAGAACTATTTAAATCTTTGTAAAATAGTATACCATCATTATTTCCAACAAAAAACACCAAAAAGTTAGTTAATTACATACTTTTAAATTGTTTTAATTAATAAATTATTCTAAATAAATGTGGATTTGGCTCAGAAATCAATATAATAATAAGTTATGAAAATGAATGTCTCTGTTTTTATAAATAAGCATTCGTCAACAAATGAAATAAAATTTATAAGCTGTTACTTTTTACCACACTGTCTAATACACACACAAAATTCAGTTTTTTAGTATTTGGAACAATTATTACTACAACGTAAACAGTCAATTTAATGTAATTTGAATACTGGGATCATATTAATTGGTCCTCTTTAACAAAAAATATTTATTACAGTTGAGGGTTGGAACCTTTGGTGTTACACAGCAAAATAAAAACACTAAATCACCACAATACACCAAAACACTTTTACCTTTACACTGGACGCGCGTTTCGCTAACCATGTTAGCATCATCAGCAGATGATTATAAACTCAAAAAAAATATTTAAACAGTTTTTTTTTATTTTTTAAATAAGCGAACTATATCGACAATATTAGTATCTGTACCCTTTGAAAATTTGTTACATCGTTAAAAATAAGCTAAAATGTCAATATTCCATGGGTATAGTGATAAATGAGGTCACAAAATGAGGTCTAAATTATAAGAAAATGCATTTTCTATGAAAACTTGAAGAGATGGGTAAAAAATGGAACAATACAATTTAATAGACAATTACATTGTGCATCTGATTCACGTAAAATATATAGGGTGTTCCATTGCTAGATTTTGCCACGCCCACTCGGTGCCCACTGAGCGAGTATATAAACGCTCAACTTGTAGATTGTACTTTAGTTTATAATCATCTGCTGATGATGCTAACATGGTTAGCAAAACGCGCGTCCAGTGTAAAAGTAAAAGTGTTTTGGTGTATTGTGGTGATTTAGTGTTTTTATTTTACCCTTGGAGAAATAAAGCCTTAATTTTTTTACTGCAATTTCATAAAATTGAAAATATTTCAAAAACGGTAAGGTTTAAGTGTGATAAACCTTAATCAAATTTACCTTTATTTCAATCGTAGAATCTAAAAATACAATAATATACAGGGTGTTCCATTTAAAAAAATACAACTATAATATTTTTTACTTATTTGGGACACCCTGTATCTTATAAAATTATTTTTAAATTGTAGCTCTAATAGTCCTTCAACGAACCCAAAATTTACAATTTGTAAAAATCTAATCGTTTAGCCACAATACTGTGTGTCGTATATGGTGAACAACCCTGTATAATATACTTAAAACCGCAGATAAATACCGCATGATCGGAAAAAATGGCATCCAGTTGACTTGGAAATGAACATCAATGACATTCCCCATATAGCTGTGTAACACCAAAGGTTCCAACCCTCAACTGTAATAGTATATACTTACTTGGGTTTTTTTCCTATTAGCTTAGCCGCAACGTCAGCCGCTTGTCCAATAAGAGTGTGCAAAAGAAATTGTAAACTTTTATGAAAGCATTTATTTTTGATAGGTGCAGAGAAGTTCCTATATATTATGTACGACGATCCCACTTTCCAACCCTGCTTGTTAGCGAGATACAAGTTTATCCATTTTATCCTATTCCCTTTGTGAGTGGTGTAATTGAAAATTTGCGCATCGGACAATCTGGAATGATAGAGACCGTCAAATTTCTTTTAACTCACTGTATATTCTTCATAAAGATATACATATTAGAGCTTTAAATCGCTGCATTGTAACCTGCGTTGCAATTTTAATATACCAGGACGGGACATAGGAAATCCCATGTAAATTTTAATGGGGCCAATTCTTGGCTTCCCTAATTATTTTAGAGAATAATTCTATTTAGGTTTATTGAAGGGCACTAAAACCCACATTCAAAAAAATAACTTTAGATATTTTTGATTAGCCCGTTTACGAGTTATCGCCGATTTCTTTTTAAATATTTCTCCTTCCTTATGGCCCTGTATTTTACTTATGAGCACTGAGTCAAGGTAAAAGATAACAAAAATCAGAGTTGTCATTTCAGAGGCCCTATTTAGTGCTTTGTGTAATAAATTCTCAATATTTTTTTTTAAATTATTTTCATCAAAACTGCAAATCTTGAATGTATTTATAAATGCCTAAAATTAATATGAATTAAAGTAATCAATTACAAGGTTAATTATAATTATTATTACAATATTCAATAACTTATTAATTTAGGTACTATTAAATTGTAGAACTTTAGGATTTAAGATGTTCAAATATTCCCCCATCGACTGCTAGACAATAATAACCCAGGCGATCATAAATTCTCTTCTTACATTCCTTTGGTTGGTAGACTGAGAATTCTATTGCTTTCGGCAGAAATAGCATTTGTTAATCGTCTAGATTTGGGTATTTTTTTTATGCTTATATGTAACTTTAAGTAGCTGAGAGAAATCATTTGGCGAAAAATCAGGAGACCTTGCTGTGATTTACTGTATGTTTAGGCCAATAACGTTTCAGTTAAAACTATTGTCTAAATATTCCCAGCAGCCAAGGGTACTATGTACCGAGGGCAGCCATCCAATTGGTACCAAACTTCCTGTTTTTTCCTAGCGGCATCATGTAAACCAGGTAAAATATGATTTTCGAGTAGTTCTAAATAATATTCTGCATTTCAATTTCTCGTAAGAAATAATGGCCCGATATTGTGTCCGAATATCCCTGCAAACATTTACTTTCTGTGGATATTGCGTCCTTGTTTCGATAAACCACCATTATTCGGGTTTTCTTTGTGCATTCGTCAGTGGAACATATGTTTTTTAAAAATTTCCTATCCCTGTTTGCTCTTTCCATCATATCAAATCGACATATACCGCCATTATTTCGGCCCATCGTAGCTTTGGTGCTTCTCCTTATTTGAAGGGAATAGGTATTTATGTCGTTTCAAAATTCAAAATCTGTGGTGGTATATTCTATTAATTTCAACCCTCAAGTTCCCTTGTGCTGATCTTTCCATCGTTTTCTTCCACGCACAATAAACTTCCAAGTCGGTATTATTTCTTGCATCTTCTCTTTGTTTCCTGCCTTGCTTCACATCTGCAGTTATTTATAGGGGGTACCTTTGGTGTCAAATCTCTGGATATTCCTTGGGATTGTAGATTTTCCAGGTATCGGTCTATTCGGATACAAAGCAACAAACGCCGACACACTTTTATTAACTATTTCCTTGATAATACACCATTTTAATCATATTACTTTTTTCTTCAGGAGGTAATTCCATGGCTAATATTTCCGATGTAGGTATGGGTTTTAATAATAATGGCAATAAAACACTAAATAGATAAATTTCACAAATGACAACTTCATTTGACAGTTATCTTTTACCTTGACCTGGTGCTCATAAGTAAATGCAGGAGGCTATAAGAAGGAGAAATATTTAAAAGAAATTATTTTTTGTTTTTTTAATTATGCTTATTAACGAAAAATTTTTAAAGTTATTCTTTTGAGTATGGGTTTTAGTGCTCTTCAATAAAGCCTAAATGAAATTATTCTCTAAAATGATTAGGGAAGCAAATAATGGGTATTATTCAGGGTATAGGGATTTCCTATATCCACTCGAGGGATCACAGCTTACCCAAGCTATATTATAGATTAGAGATGAGCCAAACTGCGATTCTCTAGTAGCAATTGAACGATTGTGATTTTTAAATCACCGCCACTGTAACCTGCGATTTTAATATTTAAATATTGTACTAGATATACAGGGTGTCCCAGTCTGAGCGTGCATTAGAAGTTTCTAGAGAACTACAAGATCTAGATCGGAGATTTTTTGCACGTCATTGTTTCAAAATGAGATTTATCGATTACAAATATTTTCAATATGGCGGCACTTACGGAAATACCGGAACTTAACAGCAACTTTTTTAGTTTAAATAGGTACCCCCATTTTTTGTTACACACTTAAATTCTCTGTAAAATTTTATGAATATTGATATCAAACACTCTACACCTAACATTAACTGTTTTCGAGAAAAAAATATTTAAAATTTTTGGAGGAAACTTGCCTTTCAAAAGAAGTTGTATAGCCTAAACGTCAAATTTAGTGATTACCACAGCCACTGCGACATAAAAAGAAGACATGTAGCTATCTGGCAAAAATTAAATTGTTCAAATGTCATATAATAATGGCGGTAGCTGTCATGGAATTGAGCGATTAAAAAATTATCATAAATTATTTTTTTCAAATGGAAACCCACTTTTTTTATTTCACTAGTGAAAAGATTTTTCAGTTCGTTACTTTTTAACTATACATGTTCCTATACCTAAAATAACTCGTTTTTAAGTTATTTAACATTAAGTTTGAAAAAGTATATTTTTCTTGACTTTATCCAAGGACTGTATACCTATATTCTAAAGGACTGTTCGATCGCGTCAAATCGCCGCTGTCGTAGTCGCCGTGGAATGCTACGTCACGCGCTGACCAGCGCTCCACAGTGCGGCGGATGGTTATTCTAGCAGGACAAAATCTCAAGAGCAATGTTTGGGACAAAATCTAAGAACGTAGCAAATGGTCTAGTATATAGCAACTATATGGGTTAAATTTATTTATTTATTAACAACAATTTATTAATAAACCGTACAAGAGATAACTCAAGAAACTATGATATTATTCGTACATGATACACAAAAACCGTATTGTAAACTATTGCCAAATACATAAAATTATGATATCAAAAACTCTTTAGCAATTTATATTTTTAATTGTTTGTAATCTTGTGACACCTCTAATTTATTTTAAAAGTATGTTTTATTTTTTGAAAATAATGATAAGATGAATACTTTAATTTTAATTTTAACACTCAGTAATTGTAAATTCATATAGTAGAGGTATGTAGAGACAATTTTTTTAAACTCAGTGCCTTTTTGATGGAGTTGTTTGTTTTATACTATCCAGTTGATGCATCTTTTGGGCATTCCCTCACCTGTTAAGATTGAACTCCCTGTGACTATGACTACCTGTGTTGGTAACTATTGGTAACTCAAAGATCTACATCATTCAATATATCGATATTTAGAAAAAAGTAGAAAGTTTGAAAATATATATATTATAAAAAAAAAAAAAAAATTTTAACAAATAATATACATTACAGTGAGAAGAGGTACATACCTTTGTCAATCTTCAACATAATTTGGCTTTCTAATAAGATGTATAAGCACTTGTAAATATTTTGTTTCCGTATGATCTCTGCCTTGCTGAGCAGAAAACGGCAAAATTTGGTTGATAAAATGTATCAAATACAAAGGAATATTCTAGTACATTTTATATCGATTGGAATGTCTACTATTTATTCTTACCAATTTTTACATTTTTGGCTTACTTCTAACCAAACGCTTTTGTCCCGTTAAATTTATCTTCCAACGCACTGTGCCCTCGTCCGTCAAATGCAATAATAACTGTCACTGTCTAAAATCTTTAACATGAAATTCAACTCGGTCCAATTAGATGACGTATAAAAACTGACAGTGCAGGAAGAGAGGAATCGAACTATCCTTATCTCTATAGTATCCCTTGGACTTTATCAGCTTCCTGTGAGTGTTGTCACAGATCAGACCAGAGTTATTTCCATCTGTCCAGAGAAACAATTGGCTCTGAATTTCCTATATTTATATAAATGCACCTGCTCTAAAAGCTTAAAAAGTGTATTATAAAAAAAAAAAAACTCGTATTTTCGCTCTTTAGTGATATCTAATGGTTGTTATTATTAATGGCATACCGCATGATCGAAAAAACAGCGCAAAGTTGGCTTGGAAATGATCGATAATATACTGCTTTTTGAACAAAGTGTCACAATATGACATGACCGGATCTATTGTTTTACATGACTTGACGTTTAAATCATAGGCTACTGGTTAAAATCAAGAAAAATATACGCTTTAAGACAAAATCTTAAATAATATAATATATAATATAATATGATGTTTATTTATTTTATATACTCAATAAATTACAATGTATCAATAAATATACAATAAACATAAATTTACCTCTGAAAAAACTAAAAGTTTTTTGTGCGACGTTTTCTATGCGATCAACAAATACAAATTCAGATTACATTCATACATACACCTAAAGAAATGTAACTAAAAGATACAATTACGTTTATCGTTTCCATAATATAATTCTGACCACTACTTATATGGCCTTATTTTCTATAACTTTAGCCATTCCTATCTTTATTAACATTTCTATAATAAAAACACTAAAAAAAAAAAAAAAAAAAATTATCAACAAAAAAATATATAAATAATAAAAACATATTAATCTTAATCTATAATTAAAATATCTAATCTTTACAACCGGTTTTCACTAAAATGATTTATTAAGATTTGTTGGAATTCGCTCGCGTCGGATACGGAGGTGCTCGTTTCACGTTCGTTTCAGGAAATATATTAGATATGTCTTGCACCTTCCGTGTTCTTTCGGAACCCGGTATATCTTCTCTTGGTAGATCTTCGCTATTTCCTATATTATTATGATTTAGTAATTTTCCAGTTTTTTGAGTTTGCAGTTTTTCTACCTCAGTCTGCGATTGTGGATAATTGTATGGATTCATTTCTTGGAGAAATGACAACGTTCTGGATCCGGATGCTTCTTGATGATACTTTTCTTTAAAATCACCACTAGTATAACTAATACCATCAATTACTAACTTATTTCCTTTTAGCTTAGCGTTTTTGTTTTGAGCTTTTGCTTCTTTCAATTCTTCGACTAAAACCTTTTTGTTCACTCTGTCTTTTGCTACTAAATCTTCGTCTATAAATATACATATTTGTTCCTCTAGAGTTTTCCCTTATTTTAAGAGTTCCGTCCTTTTAAAACAAGACACTAAACATAAGGATAGGTCGATCTTTGGTTATATTTTTTCCAAGTCTGAAACACTCCGATAAATCTTCTATCTTCAAATTTATATCGAGTTTTTGTTTTACAAGATCTATTATGGATTCCACAAGATGTTCACTATTTCTCTCTGGCATTCCATATATTATCAAATTGTTTTTCTTCGTTTTTTTTGTAAGATATACTTGATGTTTTAATTCCTTATTTTCTGTTTCTAATACTTCAATTTTACTTTGAATAGAGTTGGTTAGAGCTGAGATTATCTAGATCTGTCTTGATGTTATCAATCTTATTGCAAACATTTTCGTTAATATTATTCAAGAGTGTGTATAAATCCCTAATTTAATTTCTTGGGTTATTTTATCGATAAACAGCGCTAAATTTTGAGACACTTGACAACACCGTTGGGATGGCTTGTAAGATTGCTTGCTAAATGGCCTGGAATTCTTTAGAGATTCTTCTATGTGATATGGTATTTTGAAATTATTCCAAGAAAACTACTTCTTGTGAAGTCTGAATCAACTGATTTTCACTCACCCGTTCTATCTTAATATACTTTCTAACTTGTAATTTGAATTTTCTAATTTATTTCATAGATAACTCCACTTTTTGAATATATTTAACGGATAACATTCTAATTCACATTAACACTTGACTTGGGACGTTGCCATTTCTTAATAATATGTAATAATAATACTTAAAAACAATTTATTTATTATAATCAATTAATCGCTCAATTCCATAACAGCTGTGGTCATTATTATATGATATTCGAATAATTTAATTTTTGAAATAGATAGCCACATGTCTTCTTATTATGATACAGTGGCTGTGGTAATCACTAAATTTGACGTTTAGGCTATACACATATTTTTGACAGGCAGTTTTTTTCGTCCAAAAATTTTTAAATATTTTTTCTCAAAACAAAAGAAAACAAAAAAAAAAAAATATCAAAATTCATAAAATTCTACAGAGAGTATATATTTAAATTATGTAATAAAAATTGGGGCACCTATTTAAAATGGGAAGTTGCTGTCGGCTTCCGGTATTTCGGAAGTGCCGCCATTGAAGTGATTCCACAGAGGTCTGTTTCGTTCTCGTTAGTCTTCTAGGACATCATAAAGACATCTATTACAATAGGAGGTTGACTGAGTCCAGTAATATTGCCAAAGAAACATGGTCGATTGTGAATGACTTGGGGAGTAAGGTTTCTTCGTCCAACATAACCTCAACTTCACCTGAGGACCTAAACAATCACTTTGTAAATGTGGCGAAGAATATAGTGAATACTATCTCACCCTCCCTAGATCCTCTATCATTTCTCTCTGACTATAATGTTAATTTGCACAGTTTCTTCCTTACACTTATAGCCAGGACAGCAGAGCTTCGCAGTACATTAAATGATATTAAAAATAAATCTTCAGCGGGGACTGACGGACTTACTCTTAAAATGTTCTCTAGTATGCCGGAATGTACATTAAACCATCTTTCAGCCTTAATTAATATGTCATTTGAAGATGGTGCTTTTTCAAATTGCCTTAAGTCGGCGATAATTATTCAGGTGTCAATCAATGCTCAGTCTCAGAATGTCAGGATCATTCTCCATCATCTCCTGGTGGGGTTCTCAGTGCCTCAGTCAATTATGTTGATTGTGTCTCTCAACCATTCATTCAGGATGTCTTCTTACCGAAGCCAGGCCAAGTGAACACCTCAGGGGCTCAGTGCTAGGTCCTATTTTGTTTCTGTTGTTTATTAACGACATTGCTAGTCTGGACATCAGTGGTAAAATCTGTCTCTTCGCGGATGATACTTGTTTCACATGGAGCAGCCCGGACACCACGACACTTCATAGAACCATTTCCAGTGACTTAATCAACATAAAAACATGGTGCGATTCTAATTATCTGTGTCTCAACGTCTCTAAAACTAAAGTCTTATCATATAAAAGTACGTTTCTACCTTTTCAACTTGATAATACCACCATTGACGTCGTTGATTCTGAGAAATTTTTAGGCCTTGTTGTGGTCAACTATTTAAAATGGGATTTGCACATCGATGCTTTAGCTAAGAAATTAAGTTCTGCCTGTTTCGCACTTAGATCAGTTGCTAATGTGCTTAATTTATCAACATCTAGGACAGTCTATTATACCCTTTTTGAGTCGCATCTCCATTACGCACTTCCATTCTAGGGTGCGTGTTGTGCGACTCAATTTGATCGTATCTTCAAATTACAAAAGAGGGCTGTGCGATATTCACTGAGGCTAACCAGTCGTTCTCACTGCCGGGACTTGTTTAAAGATATAAAATATTAACTCTTCCCTTCCCTATTCAGCCTCAGAATCCGTCACCTAGTTCATGGCACGTATCAGTATTCCTCTAGAACCAGTTCCTGGCTATCCAATTAGGAACTCAGAGCATAACATGTATCTGACAACCCCTCACTCTGAGTTAGTAAGGGTTCCATATTGTACGATGCAAAAAAATTTTTCAATCATCTGCCATCTGAAATTAATTCCATTTCATCCTTTCCTGCATTTCACAGAGCCTTGAGATCATACTTACTGGAAAGCCTTTTACGCGATTTATACGATTTTTATTAATATCTAGGGTTCTAAATTTATACGCATTTCACTAAATTTAAGAAATGATTTTTCTGTTTTCTATCAGCTAAATTTAGGTATGACATTATACAGTTGTTTATTTACATGTATGTTTTATATTTTATTTATATTTAATTAAATGAAATTTTTGACAATGTACAATTTCTATAACTGTATAAGGTATTGTTTTAGTTTTGTATGTTTGCTGTTAGTTTTATATGTTTTCTATTGTTAGGAGTGAAGTTTTTATGTTTTTATATTCTTTTTTTTTAAACTTTGTCAACAAAATTTACTAAAAAAAATTTTTTTTTATGACAATCGACAATTTCTTCTTCTTCTTCTTTTTTTTTAAATAAAATATCGTTAAATATCAACCCGTCCTATTTGAAAATATTTTTGTCAATGGAATTTCATGTGAAAAAATGTAGTTATTACCAAAAACTCCGATCTAGATATTGTAGTTCTCTAGAAACTTCTAATGCACGCTCAGTTTGGGACACCCTGTATACTTATACCTGTCTTTGGCGGTCTTGTACGAGGCAGCTATACAATTGTTGACTACGTAGTCAGCTGGAACGAAATCAACTGGTGAGTGAGGAGCGCCAGGAGCCACGTGTATCAAACCCAAACTGATACCAATCATCATACCAACTATACCATAGATATTGTCGCACCATGACTTGACAGGTTCTCTTACTGAGGCCACCACTAAAAAATAAAAGAGATATAATCGACACAAATCCAAGTCCAAATCCATAGTCCAATACATCAGTCTATTTTATAAGTTGCTTTTGAAGGTCACAAAACAAATTTAGCCAAAATATTTTTAAATCCACTTTTCCAAGGAAAATGCTATGACCATTAAGCGTAACTATGAATTTTTCCTGGGGTGGTCCTGGGGGACCCAGGGGCTAGGGCTTTATTTTAAAATGAAAATAATTTTTAAAAACCGCATTTCTTAAATAAAACGTTTACAGGAATTTCTCTATCAACAAATTTCACTTGGTTTACATCAAACCCGTGTTCCCGTAGATTGCTTAAATACCTAGAATTTTCTAAAAATAAAAATTAACACATTTTTTGAGCACAACAAAATAATAGCTAACTAAACAAAACTAGAAAGGTCATTTTTACCATCAGAAACCAAATAAAATAATCGCAGCCCTAGCCAAGAGTCATAATTCAGGAGTTCTCTGGGGGGTGCCCAACTTGGTACCACGGAGACCAAATTAGATTTAATTTATTTATTTAACCCTTTCACGGGGGTGAATTAAAAAAATCTTTCACAACTCGTTTTTAGATCTTTCAAAATAACTTATATCAAAAATTCAAGTTTGTATCAAAACTTCGTATTTTAAATACGGCTTATTTTCTTGGACTATTATACAGGGTGTCCCAGAAATAAGTGCAAATATTTTAAGGGGTGGTAGATCTCGATAAAAGAAACATATTTTCTCTTTATCTAGATTTTTCAAATAAGTCCAAAATATCAGGTTCTATACTTTGAAATTTCCAAAAAAATGATTTTTGCTTAAATTTTGGGGAGACACTGGATCTTTTCTGGATTTTCTTTCTTGTAAATTTAATCACCTACCCATGTTGCCATATTATCAAGAAATTATGTTTTTTAAATAAAAACTAAAAAAAATTTTCAAAAAAATTCGAATTTTAAAATTTTTTTTTTCGCGAAAAAAACTCATAGGCGTGTTTCTGGGGTTGAACTATACTACCAGTTAAAATATTTGCACTTATTTCTGGGACACCCTGTATATGATCATCTTGTAAAAACTAGATAGAGAAAATTTTACCTATGGCTGGTCTGTGAATACAAATCGGTATTTTTGATGATTCTTTTCGTACTATGCTTTCACTGATTTGTTTGGTAAATGTGTAGGTATTTGGCAGGTTTCCTAGAATGCTGAAAAATATATTGTACGTTATATTTTTGATGAAAAATAAACTTAAAAATGTTATAATAACTTTTTTATATATTCTATGGAATAAACATATGAGAGATAATCCAAAGTAGTGAATCATCCTCCCACTAGGGAGGAGGAGGTTACCCCACAAATTAAGAGGAGGAGGTCCTTGATCTTCCTGCTCCTCCCCTCAATCTATACTATAGGTAGTACTACTAGGAGGTAATACTATGAGGACTAGGAGGTAGTACCCAAGCAGCATTTGGACGTCGGGACAACGTTGTGTCACGCGACCAAACGTCGGGGCGCAACGTCGGCACAACCTCGTGCCAACCCTAGTCTGCACTAGTTTGGAGAATAATTTTTGGGTCGAAACGACGTTAGATACCGACATTTGGCTAGAAGCCTAATTAGGTACAAACTGCAACGTTTAAAATTCTGTTCAGAAATACAAAGGCAATATGGCGTCTAAGTCCTTATTTTATCCTAAATTTGGATAATTATAGTAAAATATTATTTTTTATGATTTAGTTAGAGACATATGTCAGATGGGAGTGAAGGAAAACAAAACAAAGGTATTTAAGTGTGGAGGATGTTTAGAGGTCGCATTATTGAAGCACTTTAACCGACTCTGTAACAATTTAAGGCAAAAAGTTAAGCCTGAAACAAGCTTGTGTTGAAATGCATTGTTTCTACTTTAGAAAAATACCAATGGTTTTAAAATTAAAAGAGTTTTAAAATTTTCTTAGATTTTTTTAGTGTTAAAATGAGTGTATTATTCCACTGATGATCGAAAAAAATTGTTTCCATGAGTTTTTGGGTTAAATATTTCAAGTTAATGTATTCAAAGAAAGCAGAAATAGCTATCTTAAGGACGAAATATTTTCTTATTTAACAACACTTGACAGCTTTCCCTTTGTTGTTTTGGAGATTAGATGGAGTAGTTCGAGTAGTCACATACTGGACTAATAAAGTCGTAGTTCGGCCTTAACAGGTAGTATGCTAGTCGCAAGATTACCTAATTTAGTCATCCTAGAGTCTAGCTGGTGCCGCCCTCTATAATCCAAATAAGAAACGAGGGAGTGATAAACTATCGTGTTAATATACATATATCGATGTATATTTAAAATTTAGTTTTATATGTACCTTTCTTATGTCCCATTTTAATTAAGTTTTTATAAAAACAAAACAGCACTGAACTGTGTGACTGAACAGAACAATGAATTGAAAATTTAAGATTTGTGGTATGGTTCAATACAGTTTACTCAAAGGTAGTGACTCGTCGTCCTACCAACGTAAGAATAAGGAAATCCAAACAACGTTGGAATTAGTAAAACAAACGACGTTTGCATAACGTCGGAATAGGTCCTGAAACTGACGTCGGAAAACTCTGTCCAACGTTGTAACTATGTTGTCCGAATCACCTAAAGATCCTTAAGCAAAAGGTTACAAGACAACGTTTATTCGACGTCGCAGAGGCTTCTACTTTGCTGTAGTACTAGTCCAACGTCGCGTCGGCACAACGTTATAAAAACGTTTAAATTTATTTTAATACCCAAGGTAGGGAGCTAACTATTTTTTGTAACTAATCCAACGTTGTGTTTAGTAAACATGTGGTCGCAAGTCGTGAAAATGCTACTTGGGTACTACTAGGAGAAGGAGGACTCATTCACAGCCGTCTTTGACGCCGTTTTTTTCGATCGTATGGTGTTATTTTTGAAAAAGTTTAAATTTTGACTTACCCCGGTGTGATTTTATCTAAAATATCTTCTGATAAGGTGTCAGTGAGGTTAATTAGAACATCTGGGTCCATATACGGCTCGTAGACTGCCTCTTCGATGATATTTTCGAGACAATTTGAGTATGCTGTACCTACATAAGTGAAAACATCAAATTTTTTGCATTTTTTTGCCAATTCTAAAGCTTCCTTCGTTCCTTTAATGTTTATATTTACTGCAGTTTTCAGTTTTTCGTCAAACCTTACAGTTGCAGCTGCGTGGTATATTATATTCACCTGAAATGATGATATTTTCAATTTTAAAAACGTTTCGGGTAACATTACAGCACAGCACATAAGAACAATCAGCACACTAACTACTTAGATTCCATTGTTTTAGATTTCTGCCATAAAATTTGACCTTGTCAGCACCATTATGGTTTCCTAGTCAGGGCCGGATTAAAACAGATCAAAATTTCTCAGAAAATACGACAGGGTTGTATTAAAAAAATACTGTAATTGACTGAAACTGAATTTTGTTTTAATGTTTCTAAACATACTTCTCGAATAAGGTAAATGAAAAATCAATTAAATGGCTACTGTAGGGAATAGACAATTAAAATTATAAAACAAAAAAAAACGTACCATGATTTACAAGGCAAGAATTAAAAAATACCAATAAAATATTTATTGAACAATGTAAAGAGGCTACGTACAAATTATACCCATCAATGGGCGTAGCAAATTTATTATCTTCAAATTCCACAAATTAATGGAAATCCTGAAGTTGTTTTTGAAACTTCTATTTTTTTCGTGGCAGGAAACAAAGTAGTTACCGCATTGTATTTTATGCGGTTACAAAGTTAGTTGAGTGACATTTTAAATTCAAAGTGAACATAACACAACCTGTACTTGTGGGCCTTATTTATATCTTCAATCAAGTCTTCTCCGTTAGCTGCAATTGCCCATGTTCTTGCCCTAAAATGTATTGTTAACTTGTTACTAATCTATTGTTATTTTCGATATACTCATTTTATTTTATTTTTATAATTTTATTTAAATTAATAGTATAATTATTTTAAATTTAATGTTGAATGTCTAGATACAACACATTGGAATTTTACTAAATGTTAACATTTTAATTTTGCTAATATTTTATATACATATAGGGTGAGTCTTGAATGGTCTGGAAATATTTTCAGGGTGGTATATCTCGACCCCAGGAACACGTTTATGAGTTTTTCGCTAAAAATAGATGTGAAATCATTCATTTTCTTTTGCTTCATATATTTTTAAAAAACTTTTTAGAACTACCTGTTCACCATTAATTTTCCACGGTATAATTTCTTAATCTCTAATGTTACCATAGTTGGCTTTACTCTATGGTTATAAAGGGATGCAAATACAGAAAAATCCGGTGGCTCTCAACTCAACATTAAAAAAAACATTTTTTTTAAACAAATAACTCGGTTATTTTGGATTTATCTGAAAAGAGTAAGGGAAAATATGTTTCTTTTATCGGGATCGCCAGCCCTGAAAATATTTGCACTTAGGAACTCACCCTGTATATAGAAGTTTGTTAACATTTAATATAGATGCTGAACTTGTATATTTTTAATTAGATCTTTCTATTTAGCTGAATGTCCTAATATGTATACTACTGTTTTTTAACTAAAATATATTTAAAATGATTAATCACATATATACATACCTAATGGATCTCTAGAGCAGAGAAACTTTTGGTTTAGTCCTCTACTCGGGCAGTTTTTGCTGCACAACTTCGCCAAGGCATTTTAAAAACACGTAAAATTAACGATTTAAAAATGTTCAGAAGAAACAAAAAGAAATAGATTATATAACACAAAACAAAATAAACTAGAACAATAGATATATAACGTAAACAAAAAGAAATAAAACAACAACTATAAAATATAACTCAAAGAAATAAACAAAATAGAATTAATCCGTACGCTACTGACTCGAATCTGTGTGTTGTCGCTGAAAAAACTACTACACTGGTTACTTTCTGTGGATGGAAACTCTAATGGCGGCGTGCGCGTGGTATCGCATTAGCGATTCCATAAAGAGAGTTAAACATATCAGCGCAGCCGAAGCGCGGCGCGGCGCGGCGAATTTTTGATTGGTCCGCTAACTTATGCATGGTTTTGCGTACGCGGTTGGTATTTAAAGAGTTTAAAATTGTTTTGAGCTGACCCTTTCAATTTGGTATTATCTCTGTGACAGTTTGATATAAAGGTGTATTAAATCTTCATTATGTCCTCACGTTCCAGCAGCAGTTCAGAGGGAGATTTTCTTATTTTATGTACAATAACTAAAGAAAAAGATATGGGTGAGAACAAAAAGAGAAAATTTTGGATTCATAACATTAATATAAAAGAAATGCGTACGGAAAATACACCTTCATTCAGATTTAAAGCGGCCCTCACACGGTCAATAATATTATCTCAATATTTTTGATTATTGACAATATTATTGAGCGTTTGAACGTACATATTGATGTACTTTCAATATATTGATGGATTTTCGGGATCCTGAAAATACTCGACAATATTAAAGGCGGAGCTAGTCGTATTAACAATATATTGATCGTTAGGTCGCATGATTGACAAAATTTGACTAGTTTATTCGTAACCATGGCGGAAGACGGAACATCGCCGTCGTTGTTTTTACTAGTTTTAGATCGCAATCATCAGGCTTCCGTTTCTTAACGTACTCTAGAAGATTTGGTTGGCTGAACGCTCTTTTTGATATCCATTTTATATAACGTCTTTTCTTAAATGCTTTTCTCTATTTTTTAACGGCCAGCCTCACTGCCAAAATGTCAAAATGACACGCTTTTTATCTTTAATTTTTTGGCATAGGGTATAATCGAGGGTATAATTCACACTTAATATCTGCACAAAACTTAATATTGATATATGTATTGACCGTATCAGACCAACTTTCAAATATTGATAAAATATTGACAATAAAACATTGACAATATTATTGACCGTGTGAGGGCAAAAATACTGATAGGACTTTTTTGAAAAATTTTATTAAAAGTATTATAGAATGACCCACCAAAAACTTGCTGAACTTCTTTCTTTGACATTCCAACTATAGAGTGTCAAAAAACTAGATTTCGCTGCCCAATTGGCGTTAAGAAAAGACTTTCAGTTTCAAGTTTCAAACAAGTTTTTTAATAATGTCTAAATAAAACTAATAGAGAATAATTTATATTATTTTTATGTGAAATGCCATCTTTTCTTAAATGGGTAGATCTTTCCGTTATTCTAAATTAAATAGTCCATTACATTGGTTGGAACATATTTTTTATTTTATTTATGATCTAAAAATAACAATAATAGCTTATTTTCTTCACAGATATTGTCTCATCTCAATTGGTTGTGATAATTTGGGTCCCCAACATCATATAACTCTTTGTAGCTCTATATAATCAAAATGAATGTTTCATCACCCATGATCTCAATGGTGAAATTACAAGAAACAAATTCAAACAAAATAAGCAGGTTCGCATTAAACACAACCCTAAGTGAAATTAGTAAATACATCAATCATTAGAATCATTAATCCAGAGACACCCAAAGGTAAAATTGATAGTTCTGGGTCCTGTGCAAGCAGTTTACTTCGCTTGAGTCAGCGGACGTGCATTATATAACACAAATTTAATCCGTTGCACGGTTTTTCGCCGCGCTGCGCATAAGTGCGCGGTATGCTTAAGTGCGCGGTATGCTTTAGCCAAGTATGATTTATATGCAATGGTTATAGCCCCTACATCAGTGTTATTCAGCAAAAAATATTGCCATGGTGTAAAATTCAATAAAAGTATACATTTTGACTCAGGGCCGGATCTACCTACGGGCTGTTTGGGCTGCAGCCCAGGGCCCCGCGAAAAACAAAAGACTCATAGGTGGGAACTGTTGAATCGTGAAATAAAATTAAAATTCAGGTTAAAAAGTTTAAGCCAGACAAGATGGCCCTTGCCACTATGATGCTACAAAGCCTTAAAAAATAAAAAAAAAAAAAAAAAATTTTTCAAAAGTTTCAGCGAAATGAGGTTGAGAAAGTTGATTTCAGGAAAGAGGACAAATTTTATTCAATAAAGAGTAAGCGAATCTCGAGACTGCAATTTTGATTATCTTTTGGGAAGAAGTTTTGGAGAGATTTCATTTAGTTAATAAAAAAATACAAGAGCCTAGTTTAGACATTTGTGAAGGCAACAAGTTAATTGTTTCTTTAAAAGACTTTGTGAGCAACATACGACATCAATCAGATCAAATGTTACAGGAATACAACGAAAAAGCTAAAATTAGAAGTACTAGTGTAATAATAGACTACAATTACTTAAACAAGAGACGCATTATCCCAAAATTTTTCAGATAAGTTACAGGTGGATTCTGCCATTATGCAGCGCAGAAGATTTACAAAGAGAGGAGGCCAGAAAGAGTTTAAAAAGTTGCGTTAGATGGCTGATTATGGATTTCAAATGAGACAATTTTATAGGACATAGCAAAATTCAAATTTTAATGGATTTGCAAGACAAAATATCGAAAACATAGATTTGGAAATTGCACGTCATATTATTGATTACTATCCCGATGACGTAAACGAGCACTGAGTGAATGAGTGCATTCAATAAAAATCGTACTCCAATCTAAGCCAGACTCTTACACCTCTTGCAGTAATATTTTTATATTACAAAAAAAAAAAAAAACTTATTAACGTGTTCCCTAACTGCTATACCATTTTAAAGATTTTTTAAGATTTACTTAAATCCACTTCCAAGCTGTGAGGCAGAACGCTCCTTCTCCAAGATGTATATGGAGAAAATAAAGTATAATAGGACAACAGTAACAGAACCATCGACTAAATAACTTATCGCTTCTTTCATAAAATTGTGATCTAACAAAAGACTTGTAATGTAATGACTAAATAACTGTCAATTTCTGTGACTACAACCCATCAATTTCTTTTACCTAATTCACTTAATAGGTAAATAAATAAAATTGTTTATTGTTTTTATATTCTTATCAAAATATCACTATTTCGGTTTCTCTCTCACCCCAAGTTTGCCTGGAAGAGATTACTACCACAGCAATAAGTCGTCTTTTGTACAACTAATACATGCGTAGATTTAAGTAACATTTATGTTACTTAAATCCCACATATCTAAAATACCAGAGTCTACAGCAGATCGGCAGAGAAGAGAGTACTCAATATAATAAAATGAGAAAACATCATACTTAGGACATATATTGAGAAATGAAAATACC